AGAGGCTGTGTTTAGTTCCAGCTTGTTTCTAAGGCGTTAGGAATTCATTTAAAAGGATTTCTAAAATCATTTTCAATAACTATAATGATATTTTCACAGTGTTTTTTGAACAGAACTCATATTACACATTTGTTACTTGGTATGTTACTTTTTCACTAATGTTTCATTCTTGAAATTCTAATATTTTAAGCTTATAAATTAAAATCATTCTTCGTCTCATAAAACACATTTGTACTATTTGTCCTCAGGTTTATTATTGTTTGGTAATATAATACATGTATCCACTCAATATTTATAATCTTACTTAATTTCACTTGTTCAGTTACTGAGTCACACTATCATTATGTTAGCTATGTACTTTCCTGTTATAATGAGTTACTTAAATTTATTTCCCGCAAGTCTTCCATGGTTTTTCATTGAATAGAAGTAGGTTATTCCCTGCGATTTGATTTGTAAATAGTTTAAATTACATTATTATTTATTTTATAGCTCTAGTTATTCTGCTTTATTTCAAACTTTTCCACTTGATTAGATGATGAACTTTGCTACTGGTACTCCTTCTAATACGTATACAAATCACTTAATAGGCTTTCCTAATACAACTCAAATATTTCCAAATGTTTATCAAGTTGATCCCAATTCAATTATACCTGGCCAAACTGCTCCACTTGTCTTTGGATCTTCTTTACTCACTTCATTTCAACCTACAAATAATGTTATACATCCACAGATACATTTACCTGCCCCAAGTGTTCTATCTGGTTCACCAAATATTTTTGTTGGAAATTTCCCTCCAGGTATTACTTTAAAGACAGCACCTGTACAAACAGTCGGAAGTGTAACTTCAATTCCTTTCACTCCAACATTTGCTTACCAACAACCTGGAGGTTATAATTAATACCTAAAAATATAGGTATGGGTATAATCATTCTTTTTTTGTCGCCTCTGTTTTGCACACACCACAACAGTAAATCTCATTGTACATAATACAGCACATACTAGATTTTCTCATTGTGAATACTTGCCAAGAAAAATATCCATTACAGTGCATCAATCATCCAGTATATTTCTTGACTTTATTACACATACAGAATTGTATCTAACATATATAATTCCTTTAAAACTTGATTTCATCATTCTCAACATTTATTATAAAAATAAATACTATTTCAAAAGAACTTGTAAATTGAAATGTTTTATTTTATGAAATTACTTTTAGTTGTTTCAATTATTCATGTTTGAGCAGTATTTCTTTTTTTTTCTTCACCATCAATGATACTATTTCTCTCATTGAAATCATGCTAATTAGACCACTATCAATATTGAACCGCTGTTTTGTTTTCTTTTTAATGAAAAAAAAGAAGAAGACTATGTATGCATTTATTGTTTATTATGTTAAGTTTTTCTGTTTGTTCGTTCATTTTTGTAATTTTTATTTCATTCAAATTTAATATCTAACTTATGTGTTACCTCATCTTTCAAAATTTAAGGCAAAACAAAATTGAGAGCATAGTTTTTTCTAGGTTTAAAAATCTATTTATCTTTGCCGTATTATATATATTGTTATATATGTTTGTACCTTTTGAGACATGTATTACGTGGATAGTAGAAGTGAATCTTTTTTTTCCAAGTTAGTTGTTTAGTTTTTGACGTTTCTTTAGAGTTAAAAATGATCTATGATTTCTAGTTGAATTGAATTAAATGGATCCGTTTTGTGGTTGTTTTGATATTACATCAACTTTGTTTGCTATTTGAAGTGAGATAATATTCAAACTAATTGTCTAGTTATATTTGTATATTTAGTCTTGATGAGTGTTAGGTAGTTCGAGGTAGTCGATATGAATACCTAGGCCTAAATTTCGTGCTATTTAACACTCGTCAGCCAGGTATACCTATACTGTTGAAGTTGCTGCAGCTCCCTGGTTGATTCGATTTCATATCACCCCGCTTTACATTTTCATACGTCATAGTTATCCAGGCTGAAACTGGTCTGTAGAATAGATGTTTACAATCAACCGGTACATGAGTAGAGACCATTGTCATGTCTGTTTAGTTCTTTATTACTGATCGAATTCATTTTCTGCTTATGTATTAGGGTTTCGACACTCGTGTGTTGCTTTATATACTTCCGAAATACTTTGATGCTGAAAGACTATCATCCAAGTATTAAGTGTTATTAAGCTCAAATACGTAGTAAACTTCCGGAGAGTTCACTGTAAAAATGCAAACGTATTAGTATCCTAGGCATCCTACTTCATGATTTATCAGTGAACACTCCCAAATGAAATCGGATTTTCGAAACTCATAACTAAACAACAAATTTCCGATGTGAAACTTTATCGTATGCTGAAAAATTCTAAAATGTAAACCCAGGAAGATGATTTAGAGTTTGTATTATTTTATAGTTTTCCATGTATTATTACGTTAATAACTCGTGTTTTCTGTTTAGTTACCATATTTGTTGTATGTTACCGTTTGGCTTCATTCAACAAACAGGAATCTATATCTTAAGATAGTAATGCAAAACTATCAACCAGTTTAGCAAACAAGATGACTCAACCAATGTATACCTCACTGTTCAGTAATTGTTAATGTCCTATAAAATTAGATGATCACTATACAAATATCAATCTGTTGTGTCACCGCCTCCCGAAGACTTTTCAGATTCTCATGAACATTTATTGACATGTTTTCCAAGATTTTCAGAATTCACATTTTTAATTAGCTCTTAATAAACTATTGTGCTTGTATGTATAATTAACAACTTCTACACACTTATTCTTCAGTAAGAAATATCTTGTAAATGGGATCAAGTACGTTATTGGTGTGTTAATTTGAAAACATGCACTGGTATGGAGGAATTGGAATATCTTATCTTCGTGATGCTTTGCGCCTAGTCATTTGTTTCACTCAAAACTTGTTTCACATATATTGGTATTATTATAGGTTACATAGTTATATACTTTCGTAAGTCGGAGGACAAACTGTTCTAGGTATAGGAATTTTTCTGCAACCACCAGTAATTTAAACTGATTTTTACAGTTTGAGCTCTATGGACATTTTTTGTTGATCTGTAAAATTGAGATCTGAGTTTGTTCTAAGATTTTGTACAATTATTGATAAGCTCGTGTATATATTCATATGGATTGAAACGTTATTCTTCTAGTCCCAAAACCACCTTTAAATCCTCCTCCTTCAGTAAAAGTACTTTTTACGTTTAGCAAGTATGACGCAGCAGTGAGGGAGTAATCTCAGCTTAGAAGGCTGTTAAATAAAGCAGTATTACGAGAATGCTTAATACAATATTAAGTTAGGTTCTGGAAGCCTACATTGTAACTCCGAGTCTTTAAAGTTGTGCATTCTTTCAAATAACTTGGAGCTCCTAGCATAACCAATTACAAACATTTGTTATGAGTTTATCAATAACTCACACCGATTTTTGTTCGTGGATCTGCGTCAACACCAGAACTAAGGATAAGCAGTGAAGTACTCGAACGCGTTGACAACTTCACTTATCTTGGAAGTCTGATCAGCCCTAATGGGTTGGTGTCTGACGAAATCTCAGCACGGATTCGAAAAGCTCGTTTGGCTTTTGCCAACTTACGTCACCTATGGCGAAGGCGAGATATCCGTCTATCAATAAAAGGACGAGTATACTGCACGGCAGTCCGTTCTGTTTTAATTTACGGCAGCGAAATATGGCCATTAAGAGTAGAAGACGCTCGTAAGCTACTAGTATTTGACCACAGATGCCTCAGAAATGTTGCTGGGATCACCGGATAAGTAATAGTGAGGTTAGACGCAGGGTATTAGGAAATGATGGTAAACCAGTTGATGAGGTTATGAATCTTCATCGACTGAGATGGTTGGGCCACGTGTTACGTATGCCTGAACACCGATTACCACGACGTACAATGCTGACCGGTGTTCGAGATGGTTGGAAGAAAGTTAGGGGCGGCCAAACCAAAACGTGGCATCAGTGCTTGAAGTCACTAACCTCCAGTCTGAGCCATGTTGGTAGATGCAAACTACTTGGTTGGGGTCCGCGTGACTTTCGTAACCAATGGTTGGAGACTCTTGGTGACATGGCTCTGAATCGGTCACAATGGCGTAGGTGTATACACTCTCTGTCTTCCCTTAAACTAAGAATAAAATCGCTTCATATCTTTCTTTCTACAAACTAATTCTTTCTTCCTATACTATGTCCTTATTGCAATCTTTCTTTTATATATTACCACCTGTGAATCAACTACTTTTATGAATCCGGTGTCCATCTTTTTGTGTTAATGTGGTATGGCAACTTGAACCGATGTGCCTGGTCCTACGTTGTAGCTGACTGACTGGAAAATGAGAATTAAATTTTTTTGACTGCAAAGAAACAAATACATTACAATGTATTTTATGAAAAGACACAGAAATGGGTTCTGCTTTACAACTATTAAACGATTTGTGGAACAGTAAATTTTTAGGCGTCTTTAGAGTTAAATGACACCAATATGCAGACATGTGTTTTGATTTCTGTAAAGTAAGCTAAGTGCGAGCCTTATAGTTTTCATATACAAAGTTTATTAATTTTTATTGATAAAAATAGGATGCATCCAGCATTTCTGCATATATATTCAAGAGAATAGGGAATTTAAGGTGTCTTTTTCTGCAGTAATAGAGAGTGGTCTTGTCAGATCGTAGGAATTTCGTCTACTTCTTATGCGTATTAATCTTTGAAATTAGTAATCTAAATATAACTTGCTCTCTGAAGTTTCAACTAATTCTACCTGGCTTTACTTAGTAGTATTTTAACATCTAGCGTTCCTACAATCTCAAGTGCTAGTCTTATAATCTTCTTTTCTAAGGATCTAAACTAGTTTAGAATGACCGATATACTTTAATAATTAGGCAGTCATCTCATCTCTATGATAAATAAGTCATATCGAGAGAAATATTCATAACCTTACTATAATAAAGACAAGCAACAACCCACAATTTGGCAAAAAGGCTAAAATATCCGTTTCATCTACATTTGAAAGTCTTTTTTTCGTGTTGACATGGGTAATGGTAAAACCGAGATTAAAAGATTATGTTTTTCATTTTGCTCTACTTTTTTGTCTTCCTGCTAGTTGTCACCTTTGTTGGCAGCGGTGTCCGCTTCATATGTTTTTTCTTGGAATATCTTTCCGATTTGTCATGAAGGTTTTGTAATATTTGGTCTGTAATATTATATTAGTTTATAAAACAAATCACCTGTTAAGTTAGGGTAGTACTGTTCAAAGTTTTCAAGCATAGGTCGGATATTCACTTGTTGATCTGACTTGTCTCCTTATTGCTGAAAAGTTAACTATTATGTTTACCTTCAATAGCTACAAGAATGTAGACGCCACCACCTTCAAGACTTTGAACAGTTTGCTGGTAATTTTGTGAATCACTTAATCCTAAAAGCCTTCCCGAAGTGTCACATAAGTCAAATGTGACTTTTTTGTAAATGCTCGTTAGATAAACACATACTTTCAGGGTCTATGTCGCAAGCGGTTACGATATAGTTGAGTAGAATTTCAAAGGAACACCACATATTGACTAATACTTTTTTGTTTTCTATAATACGATGTTAGTACTATATTTACTGTAATACCTCCAAATCTGATCCATATAAATGGTCTATTGGTTGGTAACATACTTATCTCTCAACTTCGTAATTTATCTGATAAATTGACGACTAGTTCGACCTATTAGTGTGTAAGATAACTTCTGCTGTTCAGTACCCAGTAACTTTGTCACAAGCTTTTATAAACCGATTGTTTTCTTTGCTCTCGCTTCTTGTTTTTTTTCGGTACGGTCTAAGGTATTTGGTAACGTCCGATGGGTGATAGTCCAACCACTCGACTGAATTAATTCTACTCAGTTTAGTAGTTACCTAAGAATTTGTATATCTTGCAAATTGCGTGAGTGTATTTGTCCCAGGGCAGTAGAATTTTTGGATACCAGCAGCTATCACATTGCCAAGCAGAAAGTTGGTTGTTTGCAATGTGGAAATAATGATTTGATAATTCGTGTGCTAAGGGAAGATAACTATTTTAAGGATAAATAAATAATTTACTTGATTGGTAATGTGTAAGAGGACGAAGTTGAAAAAAAATAAGAGGAGAAACGGAGATAATTATATGGAAGATAGGAAGTAGATACTGATATGCGGTAATGACAACCGTGGTATTTTATGAAACATGTATTGGACACGGCTGGTTCGAGTTAGTTGTCCACAAATGAGTATTTGTTTGTCAAGTCTTCTCTTAAAGCTATTCAGTGATGGGGCTGTCGTCATTTAGTCTGCGAGAGCATTTAAAATGGGGACAACCCTTTAATGATAAAATTGAGCGCGTACCTCGATGTTCACTATTTGATGTGCAATCCTTCAAGAGCTGTCTGGAGGTGCGTGGTGATGATGTCCTGGTAATATGTTCGTTTTGGGGTGGCTCGGTGCACTTAATATGTTGTACGCTCTTATCAATTCACCTCTTATTCTCTTGCAGAACATGGAGAATTATCACTAGTGTTGGGGCCTGCCCTGATATGATTTATCTTTTAGCCGTATCAATCACTTGATTGCTGGTTTAAGAGAAATATGTCTTATGAAGAGTGGGGCGCAACGATATTGTGTACTTTAAGGTGAAACCGAGCATACGTTCTAAACAGTATTAGCTAAATCTCTGTGGTGATTACATCATGTTGTCTTTGCATAAAGTCGTGAGTTGCGTTCCACATTTAGTGTGAGTTTTATGTTTAGGCTCACCATGGTCGCGAGCTCGAAGAAACGTCCTAAGGACATAGTCCACTTCTGATCAGAAAACTTTATCTTGTCCGAGAATATCTTTGCCATGATCTTATACTACCTAGTTGATATACTGGCTCTTTCTTTGTGATACAAATCGGTTATAACCAATCTGGCGTATATGCCAGACTCGTGTGTCTCACTCTATTTTATTTTTTATCTCTTCTAAATAATTTGTGTAGATGAACAGAAAGCATAAAACTGAACAGTATAATTTATTGGCCATAAAATCGTATTTATTCTACTTGCTATGTAATTTCAAAAGGTAGTCTTTGCCACAGTCATAACAACAGGAAAAATATTTATTTAAACAAAAAACGGAAAGTTGATCACACTTTTTGTCTATATTTAAAAAAGAGCTTTAAATGCAGTCATGGTTGTGAGAAAATCAGTTACTAATGGGATAAATACAAAACATCCGACAGACAGGAAATTGTAACGTCGATATTTAGTTGAAAAAACAACAAAATAAAGAAAAATAAGGGCCGTCAACAGGTAAACAGAAGCAACACATCGTTAAAAATTAGTGTAGAGACGTGTCGAAAGGTCTGCTTTTTTGTAAAAGGATACTAAGTAAAAGCTAGAGCTTGGGACGAAATCATTAGTCAAAACTGCGCTCTTATATATAGCATTCACTGAAAAAGTGGGCTGGAAATAACTCAGATGCATATTTCCTAAACATTAAGATAAATATTTGATTGTAATGTTGAACAAATCGCTCAAGTGGTTTCGTAAGTCTGCGATGTTGATGCTGATGTCATCACTTTTATTGGACTCACCCCTAGCCGAATTCGATTTGGGATCCTTGAATGACAGCGTCAAAAACTTTAGGAGCTTAAAAGCCTTTAAAGGCACAACGAGTTATAAATGGACTTTTGACTTTTTCATTTGTTTTGTGTCTACCACATGAACTCAGATCATCGCTAACAAAAGTATTATAAAAAGACCATCTGTTCAGTGCTTGTGACACCTAATGTAGCTACGATAGGTTCGAATGTACAACATTCCAGGAAGTATGAAAATACAGGAGAACAACCACTCCATTTTAGTAGGAGCGAAAATGTAGTGGAAATTGTTGCTGCAAGGATTGATACAGCTCTTGAAAATCGGAGCCCTCATCTTTCCAGATCTGACGTCTGGAAATCAAACATACAAGATATCATGCACTAGCATCGTCAGTTGTTCGAAAAGTATATCCAGAGTCCTCGATGTAAACGGCTTGGGATGTGGGATAGGTTTGGGTTACTGAGGACTGATGAGACAAAACCTTACTATCAAAAAGCTCGGAATACCTGTGCCTCGACTCTCCGTAGGTCTAGAAGGTTGTAGGAAGAGAAAACTGTCAAAGAATCCATAGAGCGCCCTGAAAGTTTGTATTTATATATAAACCAAAGGACAAAAAGAAGAGGAAATATTACTGCACTCTGGAGAAAAAGTACTGCTTCATCTGTAATGGAAGATGATTTTGGTAAGGCTCAATTATTCTTAAACTACTTTAGCGATGTATATACAATAGAAGCACCCTTCCTGTCAGTTCATAAATCCCCCCACACAAACAGTAGACAGAGCGATCATCAAGGAACTTGATGTCTTTGGTTTGCTAGATAAGCTTGACATAGGTAAATCCAGGGGGGCCGACGAACTGAATCCTAGGAATCAGCTAACTTTGTCGCGAACCCTTTAAGTATATGCTTTAATCTATCCGTAACCCAGGTTCATTTACCATCAGACTGGAAGAACGCCATAGTAAGTCCTGTTTTCAAAACAGGTACGAAACATAAACCTGAGAATTACCGACCCGTTAGCCTAACCAGTGTGGTTGTTAAAATCTTAGAAAAGATTGTTTGGAAGGAGCTGTGTTAAGTGTCTCGATGAAAACTGGATCTTTTCGGAGAAGCAGCATGGTTTTAGTATAGGTTGTTCGTGTCTCATCACCTTATTATTCGCTCGTGAAAGCTGGTGCGCTCTTAAGTACCAAAAGTTAACTGTAGACCTTGCTTACTTTGACTTCAGCAAAGCTTTTGACATAGTTCCGCACAACTGGCCGTTATATAAGCTAAGAAATGTGGGGATTGGATGCAATCTATTGATGTTGATAAAAGACTTCCTAATTCGGCATCAACAAAAAGTTCGGGTGAACTCAAAGTTGTCTAGCTGGGAAACTGTGCTTAGCGGAGTGCCTCAGGGTACAGTTTTGGAGCCTCTTGTATGCAAATGACCTTCCTCGCCTAATATCATTATCGGTTTTGCTATATGTTGGCGATGTCAAGATATGGAGAGCGATACGAAGTGATGGTGATGGCTTAGAACTTTAAATTCACCTGGAGAAGTTATCTGAATGATCTCAAACCTGGCAGTTGCCGATTAATACTTCCAAGTGTATTGTGATGCATATTGGTCATCAAGGTACATATACATACACGATGAATAATATTGAGCTACCTGTTGTCCAAACACGTAGTGATTTAGGAGTCATCGTTAATCAAGACTTAAAGACTATTACACGCTGCCGTGCAATAGCCGCCACAGGTTTTAGATTTTCATGTTCAGTACGTAGGGCTTTCAGTCATGTCGACGATAAAACGTTTTTGACTTTGTATACAGTGTTCGTACGTCATAAACTGGAGTACTGCTTATAAGCGGCTAGCCCCTGTCTAAAAATAGACAGTAAGCTTCTGGAACAGGTTCAGAGAACAACAAAGCTCCTGTATGATGCTCGGCTGGCCAAGTTAAACCTATTCTCGTTGTTATATCGAAGGACTAGAGGTGAATTGGTTGCATTTTTCAAATTTACTAATGAAAAATTTGCACCTGATATACCCTCATTTTTCTTGTCTTGCAAAACAGGGAAGTTACGAAGACACTTTGAAAAAGTTCACAAGCCCAGGACAAACTATTTGTCAGTTGACTTTTGATTTTCCCATCGAATCATTATGAAGATGCCACAGGTATTCAGAGTTTGACAACGCTTTAACCAGTAACACCTAATAAGAAGCGTACCCACTGAGTGGAATCAAAAAACAGAAGCGAGGAAGTTCGAAGATATATTTGATATGCTATTAGTATGTCGAGAATTGTCTGATCTTATCTGGCTAGCGATTGCAGTAGATGTTGAGCACGGCGTTCCCACTCGTGATCTGGTGCGGATACATGACTGAGCGCCTTCAGCTAGGTGAGTCTATTAAAACATGTGGTCAGCGTCCAATGTCAAAAACTTACAGAGCTATTTATTTTGGGGAATTGTTTACCGCTACACATCACTCCCACCCTAGTGGGGTAGTGATGACCCTAAGACATGGCCAACCAGAAATTTAAACCCAACGATTTTTGTCGTTGGTAAACACTTCTGATAGCTTGCTAGATTTAGCAGCGTCTGGTCGTCTTTCCTTACTATAAGGGACCATAAAGTACAATATAGTTTTAAAAAATAGTGTACAATGAAAATCTTTGATTCCTCGTAAACCTCATCGTTCTTTTCATCGTATTTTCCAGCCGTCCTGGAAAAGACAAAAAAAGAATATGTAAGTGCATGTCGAAATAAACTTGTACGCGCTTCAAGACACAAAATGGAAGAAAAAGTATTAATAACGTAAAAGCGAATTTTACAATATGTGTTTTTTGTTTTTTGTACCTATTAGCCAAACAATAAATATATATAAATATAAGCATACAATAATTGATTTTTTCATATTATATATAATACCATGGAAAATCGACATGAAACAAAATGTTAACTGGTGTCTTACTTACAATAGTCATTTAAATGTTCTGGAAATCTTACTCTTCTTCCAGAATTCGTTGTTTTAAGTTTATTTTCAGATACTGTCGAAGTACCATCGAGCGTGTTGGTTGTCGAATGAGGTATTATAAGTGTCGTTCAATTGTACCGAAGAAAAATCGACGTAGATATGATATTCCTCCAAATATGGTGCTTTGGGGCGATCGATGCTTATGCTATCGTTGATTCCGTTCTTGTCGATTATAATGTACTTAGGTTCGCGTTGAAGAACTTTGGAAGGTCCTTTGTATGCTGATTCGAAAGGTTGTCGATGCGAGTCTCGACGCACGAAGACGTGTGTACTACATCGTAAGTCAGGTTGAACGAAAACATCAGTTGATTGAGGTCGAGTGGAAACAGGTTTAACTGAACGTATTGCGTTTGAAGGCCTGTTCGTGTAGGAGGTTAGATTCATGCTCATTGAAGAAATCGAAGAATCCACGAATTCTCCTGGAATTAGAAGTGTCGTTCCATAAACGAGTTGAGACGCAGTGTTTCCAATGTCAGCTTTCACTGCACTGCGAATACCTATCAAGATAATTGGAAGAGCGTCGGTCCACTGTGAAATGTTTGCAGCTGATAGTGAAGCTTTTAGTTGTCGGTGAAAGAGTTCTACCAACCCGTTTGCTTGTGGGTGGTAGGCCGTCGTTCGTAAACGAGTGATTCCTAAAGGTGTGGTCAGACAACGGAAAAGTTCAGATTCAAACTGACGCCCTTGGTCTGTAGTGATGGTTGAAGGGCAGCCGAAGTTTGTTACCCATCGTTCGACGAAGGCGCGAGCCGCTGTTTCGGCAGTGATGTCCTTGATAGGTACTGCTTCTGGCCATCGAGTGAGACGGTAAACGCAGGTTAAGAGATAAGAGTATCCATTTGAATCTGGTGAAGGTCCTACCAAATCCAAATAAACATGGTCGAAACGAGCATCGGAAGTTTTAAACGAGCCTAAGGGACATTTATTGTGTCTGATGACCTTAGATTTTTGGCAGCTTACACAGGAGCGTGCCCACTCCCTCACGTCTTTATTCATTCCAGGCCAGCAAAACCTTTCTGCTATAAGCTTGATGGTTGCACGAACACCTGGATGAGAAAGTTTGTGCAATGTGTTGAAGACATTGCGTCGATAATGTTTTGGCACGATTGGGCGATCCCTACCTGTAGATGTGTCACACAGTAAGTTTTCCTTACCTGTTCCCATCTGTTTGAAGCGTAGCTTGAGGGTTTCTAGACGTTAACTCGTGGTGAAGATCAGTGTCTTCTTGTTGAAGCTCGGCGAGTTTAAGAAGGTCGATTCCTTGGAAACTGTTCAAGGAAGTTATACGAGATAAAGCGTCTGCAACTACATTGTTTGCTCCAGAGACGTGTTGAATATCTGAAGTAAACTGTGAAATGTAGTGCAGTTGTCGAGACTCACGGGGAGAGTACTTGTCAGAAGGAGAGCTTAACAAGAAAGTGAGTGGTTTATGGTCCGTGAAAAGAGTGAATTCACGACCTTCGATGTAGTGTTGGAAATGCCGTACAACACAATACATAGCTAGGAGTTCCCTACCGAATGTGCTGTACCTCGATTCGGTGTCTAGCAACCTTCTAGAGAAAAATGCCAAGGGTTGCCAGGAGTTGTTAACCCATTGTTGTAAGACTTCTCTGACTGCTGAGTTGGATGCGTCTACTGAGATGCTAATGGGTGCTTGAGTGTCCTGATGTGCAAGCGTTGTTGCTTTAGCAACAAGTTCCTTAACTTTGGAGAATGCTTTACGCGCGGTGTCGTTCAGATTGATGGATTTCTCATTTCCACGAAGTTGGTCGGTTAGCGGTTTCATAAGTAACGCACATTTCGGCAGGAACATCTATAGAAACTTACAAGGCCGTTAAACGTGCGTGGTCGCTTGATGGTGGTCGGTCCTTTGTAATCCAGAATGGCTGACACTTTGGTTCTGAGGGGTTAAATGCCTTGCGCATCTATAGCGTGTCCTAGGAAATCTAATGAGTCAGTTCTGATTCGGCATTTCTGAATGTTTGCAGTGATGCTATGTTTTTGTAGTAGATTGAAAACAAGATCCAGATGCTTGAGATGCGATTCTCTGTCCGGACATGCTTTTAGACAGTGGTCAACATACGCATGTACGAATTTGAGATCTCGAAAAACGTCGTCTATTAGCCTTTGGAAGATTCGTGCAGCGTTTCTTAGGCCGAAGGGCATTCGCAAAAGTTTGTAAAGTTCGAAAGGATTTATGATAGCTGTTTTCGGTATGTCATCAGTGGCCATGGGAATTTGGTTATACGCTTTAACCAAATCGATTTTCGAAAAGACAGTTGTGCCTTTCAAGGTAGCTGTCAAATCGTGAATGTGAGGCAACGGGTCACGATCGGGAATGGTTTTCGCATTCAATCGCCGATAGTCACCAGTTGGACGCCAATCGTTGCTATCCTTTTTAGGGATCATGCGCAAAAGAGATGCATATGGTCTATTTGACGGTCGCATGATTCCTAAGTCTATCATGTGGTCGAAATCCTTTTTCACCAACCTTAACTTTTCGGGGGCTAGTCGTCGTGTTTTAGAGAATACAGGTGGTCCTGTAGTCGTGATGTGATGTGTAACGTTGCTGGTTACACACGATAGTTTCGGTTGCGTTTGCTGAATCCCAGGATAATTATCGAGAAGTGGTTGATAAAGTGGGTCTATCGTATGCTTAATTGTGACTGGAGATAATCTGCAACCAAAAAAGAAGTTACGCTGACGGATAAATTAGTGTTTCCGTCTACTAGCCTTCGTTTGCGAGTATCGATGATTAGATTATGGTGTTGTAGAAGGTCTATACCAATGACTGTCATAGAAAAATTTGCAACAACGAAGACCCAGTGAATGGGTTTGTGTAAAACCACTTTAATGTAAACGTACCTTTCGCCATACGTAGCGATAGGCTTTCCGTTTGCCGCCTCAGCACGCGGTTGAGGCTCCACCCGTCGACTCTTTCAAAAGGAAGTCGGGTCAACTGAGAGACCACCATCGCCAAGACAAACACAAGCCATCAAGCCTCTTGTCCTTTCAAAACTGAAACTGAAACTTGTGACAAAGATATTGTGTAGTGGAATATAGACAATCTGCGAATTTTCTCTCGTCAAGGACATTCGGTGACCTTTCGCGACTGGTGACTTGTGGTGGCTATAAAACCTCTTTTTTGCACTAAGTTTTATTCCTTTTCTAGTGATTTAACTATCAAGATTTCTACAAAAAATGTTCCGAATGTCCCTTTTTAAAATTTTTGCACTTTTTAAAAAATCAGTTTTGTAAAGATATCTTGCTATATGTAACGACATAGAACTGCACATATAACATGAAAGACGTTTTATTTAGAAATGTGGCTCTGGATGATGTTTTTTGTTCTAATACTTCGTTGAAAATCTTATTCTGCGCTTAGGTTTATGTTGAGTTCATCGTTAATTCACATAAGAGTTGTGCTTTCATAAGACATCTACTCTTTTGTCTTAAAATAGGCTTTATGTCATCTGAAGTCTGCTAACTACACATCTGTGACCTTAACTCAATTAATTTAAGTCAATGCACATGAAAAGCCTTATCAACACAATCGAGGTCGGCAATGTATGTACCTATTTGTGTTGAGTTTTGTCTTATTCCGCAGGTGAATTACGTTCAGTTTTATATTCTGAGTTTATGTACTTTAAGCCTTATTTTTACCTTAGAGTTATTTTATTTGATCATTTTAAAGTCGAGCAATGCCAGGCTCCCCCTTTTTTCCAGAAAATTGTTCTTCACCTTTGCTTATTTCTAATCTTCTATTCAGTCAAGCCCAGGTCCTCTTTTGTTAAAGCATAATGGCATTCAACCAATTGATTATTTCAACTATTTATTTAAACACATCAACGTTTGCAAAAGAAGGTACTAAATATTTATTCACCACACCCCATCATCTGATTTGTGAGGGCCGGAATACTGCCTGGGAACCCAAACCAAGTTGGGTGGTAATTTTTTGGGGGCCATACCCCGAACGTTTGACCTAGTAATTTAATTCACAAGGCAGTGAGGCAACGTTAAGATATGTATTCCCATGGTAGCTTTTCATCCTCACAATCTCATAAACATCCTCGCGGCTATAAGGCAATCAGTAGTTCCCTTGCAATGGTTATATTCGTGTGGCTATGTGAGAATTTTAAAATGGAGAGCGGACTCTCCCCGCTCTCGACTATATCAAGGAATTTTCGATCCCATTGATTAGGATACAGTTATGTACAGTTTTACAGTTCATATAATACGACCATTATTCTGTATCGTCATTGAGTGTCCATGTCACACACAGCCTTGTCGACTTCGTCATTAATTTGGTATCCTTAAGTTACTTGATATTGATTCAAAACATTTCTTGAACCTACACTAGAACGTATACAATCCCGTTTCGGAGCATATATTAACGATTTATGACGTCACAAAATAATTACTTTCCTTGACTTTTAAAAGTTTTCCATCCTATCTTAACAATGATCCATTTTCAAGGTGGACACTGGATAAGGTTTCAGGATGTTTCGGTTTCTTTATCCCATATTTGTTCACAACTTTATCGGTGTGCTTACAATGACTTTTGCCTAATATTGGATGTATTTAATATTTATTATCATATAAGTAGTACTTTCGTGTTATTAACCTAGTCTCTGTTTTCTTGTTGCAATTGATATACTATGCATTCTTATGTCATAATCACCCATTAATAAACATTTCAGTATTATCGTATTCACCTTAATTCAAATAATATTAAGTCTGCTAATAGTGTTTTTTAGTAACCGTTTCGAGATTTAAATAACTACCAGTTCACAAAAGTCTGATGCTATTTAAACAAACGTAGTGACCGGCAATATCGTATATCCAACAAAATCATGTTTAGTATTTACACCTTAGGTTCTGATAAGTTAATTTCTTTTTATTTATTTAAAATAGACAATGTAAAGTAAGCTGCTTTTCATATATGACTAGTTTCATATTTTCAGATGCAAGTGTACAACAAGAAAGAAAAATATTTCAAATACATTGAAAAACATTCAACAGTTTTCGGTTTTCTTCTATATCTGATTGGACTGATATGGTTTTGTCTTTTGTCTCAAGATGAGCTCAACTATAAAACTTATATGAGTGAGAATGCCCTACTTATTGGTATGTTCATTAATCATGTAGAAAGATTTCTTCGTAGGTCAGGTGAATGAAATCTTTGATGATGTTTCTTCCTCTGTTGAATTTTATGAAGAATCTAAGAAGGCATTTAAATCTAATGAGATGTAAGTAACAAATTAATGTATTTGTAGATAAAAAATCTTCAGTATTGGTTTAAAACAATGGTTATCTATACAGCTTAACACAATCGGTCTAGAAGTTTATTCGCAGAATTTCAGTTTCTCTCATGATATACTTTCGCCTTTAAAGGTATGGCAATTTTTTCCATATAATGCTATAAAATTTTTCTAATACAGTCAATTAATGGATCGAATTTATACGGCATTATGAGGTCACCAAGTGGTGGTCGAACTGAAGCACTTGTGATTATTACGTCATTAGGTGATAATCCAACTTATTTTGGAAGTCTTGCTTATGTTTTATCCCTGAGTAAACTGTTCAGAAGTAATTAACATTTCGAAAGTATATGATTTAACAACTTTTCAAATTTACAGATCAAATACACTGGGCTAAAGATATAATCTTCCTGTTTCCGGAATATGAATATATTGGTTTGATGGCATGGCTTGAAGCTTACCATGGGACCATAAATTCAGACAGCAAGTTTACTTTGAAAAGTTATCCTTGCAATGTTTTATTATTAAAGCAGTTTGCATTTAAGTTTCATACCTGGGTACTTTCGCCCTGAGTTATTTATTATTTATTTATTTTAACACATAGATATTGGTACAAGAAAGCACCAAATACATATACGCCACACAAATCTTATTCGATATGTGCGAGGGCTGTGATACTGCCCGGGTGCCCAAACCGAAGCAGGTGGTTTTCTTAGGGGGCCACTCCCCGAGCCTTTGACCTAGAGTTCTGATCCACAAGGCAGTGGAGCATCGTAAGGAGATGCAGTCCCATGGTAGCCGGTGACCAACGATTGGTTCATACGCCATTTGTTCCCGCAGGATACTGGAGCCCATGTGCACCATCAGTTTGGGATCCGGTTAAAGCGCCGGACATTCGCTTTTCGTCCTCTCATTTTTGTAAATAACACCCCCGCCACGAGAAGGCAGTGAGTAGGACTTCCCTGGTAGAGGCTATATACGCGTGGCCATGTGAGAGCATTTCGAGAGGGAGAGCGGACTTTCCCCACTCTCGGCCGTACCAGGGCATCTGGGGGCTTCAGTTATTAGTTCACTTCGGCCAATTGTAATCACAAACTCAGTTGATTTACTCTGCTTAAGAAAGTTCATACTAAATATTACTAAAGTGATGATATCCTTATACCTAAAGATTGCTTCAAAATAACTAAATTAAATGCTTAAAGTGCTTTCATGTCACTTAGGCTAGATGATTATATCTTAACACCATAAAAAAACAAAATGTACTATTAAACAGTAAATTTAACCACTGGCGAATATTTTATCATTTCATCAACATTTGGTAAATAAATGTCGAATGAGCTTCATGCATTCGTGCTAATACTTCTGTAGTTACCAACTATTCAGATACTAGTGTAGGCAAATGAGGTGGCCAATCATAATCAGCATAGGTAAGTCACTTAGCCATAAGAACCTTAAAGACTGTCGGAAGCATTGATCATGGAAAGTTGCCACACCACATTAGCACAAGTAGATGGAACTTTCGAAGTGAGTACCAAAGTGTTAGTGGTGTTGTTAATAGTGAAGAAGAATAGGCTTAGATAAAATGGTTGGAGAATGAACTTACGGAATAAAATGTAGGAAATAATTTTAAAACTAGGTGTTTAGGGCTAGACAAGAAGTGAATGCATCAGTACGGGTTTTGAGCCATGTGTCTCAAACCACTGGCCAAAATAATCACACGGACCCCAACTACGTGAAACCAGTATACCCACTCATTTCTGTCTTATGGAATAAATTGCACGCTTTTTTGACCCAGTTTTACAACGAAGGAGGATTTTATGGGACAAGTTTTCAATTGTTAAAATGAATGCGAATACTGATCAATAGATGATAAACAACTGCACAAAGTGTAGTTTACTGGTGGCTACTCATGAGAACTAATTGTCAATTTAAGCTCCCAAATGGTTCGAGGTTGAAAGCAAGACTACTAGGCAGGAAAACAGGGTTTTGTCCGATAAAATGATAGGTGTATACATACATTTTTATGGAAAAAAGTAATATAATAACTCGTTATAACCTGTTGGGTGAAGTCAGTTTGTAGGTCTCTCACTACCCAACCAATTAAGATCTAACTGTTTGGCCTAATTCTTGTCCATTGTACCAATTATCCCAAATAATACGTATAAAAGCATGTAATCGCAAGTTCTCCCATTGATCTGAGAGTGCAATTCATCAGAGTTTTGCCGAACAAGATTAGGTCATTTTTTAACTAAGTCAGTTGATAGATCTTTAGGACAAGTACCTCTCTAATAAAGACTGAAAGGTAACATTTAATTGATGAACTGAGGAATTTTAGGGGAATCGTCAGGTAATACTGTTTGTTGACGAACCGCTAAGTGATCCAAAACTAACTTATTAAATTTATTAAAGTTATTTACTGATACTAGAAAACGGAATTTTTAACATCCTCAGAGAAACAAATTTAAGGACTTCAATTTACTACATTCTACAAAATATAACAATGACTTCAAATGTTGTTCTTCTTTTTCATACAGATCTCTTGTGGTCAGAACTTGAGGGTAGAAGTGGTAGTATTCAAGCTGGTTTAAGTTTGGAATTCCCTAATTTGTACCAGTCAGCAATTGATATATTGCCTGAAGGTCCTAATGGTTTATTAGCTAATTTGGACTTAGTAAACACTGTTGTTCGACTAGCTGAAGCCCATTCTGTGGTAACACGTGTTAATAGTCAGGTAAGACACGTTAGAAGTAGTTTTCCCATATAGTTACTCTTCGATAAGCAGTTCGTTCAATTTCAGTTTCTTAAATGTCGAGATTAGGCACAAGTACTAGGTAAAAATGGTGAATCGATTGACGATGTAGGGAATTTTCACCAACTAAGGTTTTTGGGATTTGTCCTGTGTATGCCGAACCACCTTCTACCTCGACGGGCGTTGTCGTCTGGTGTAGGAGTATGTTGGAAGAAAGCTAGGGGCGGGAAAACCAATATGTGGCAGCAGTTCATGAAGTCGGTGGCAACTAGACTGATCTATGTTATTAAGTGTAGACTAACTGGTTGGAGTCTGCGTGACCATTGTTAATTACTGACTGGATGCTTTGAGTGGCATGGCTCAGAATCATTCGCGATGGTGCATGTGCATTCAGTCTTAGTCTCTCTTTAGAACCTAGGTCCTGAGATCTCACTATACCTCTTTTTCTTTTTCGTTATCTAATCGTTTCTAATACTGTTAATGCCGTTATTTCTTCTACTACTCTGGTATTTGCCTTAAAATAATTTCACCTCGTTGTGCTATGGTGGCGTAATATAGCGACTTAAACCGATGAAATATATGTCAGGTTCTACGTTGTGTATGTCTAAGTGACTGAAACAGTATGAATAATCGAATTGCACTGTATAAAGTGAACAACTTTGGGTTCTTGTGACCTTCATTTTCATTTGTTTTATTCGTTTGGGAATTATTATTCATCCATCTCTAAGTGTGAAATTCATTTTCAACTTTCACCTCTGATAGGTTACTTAGACACTGTGCTATACTACTAATAAGGCTGGGAATCAATTTTTAACATTCTAACCATATCCGTCGCTCAGGTTCGTGATTACGCATGAATCTGAAATCGGCTATTTTAAGGAAAAATAACTATACAAGTAACTCTGACGTCTAGCGAATTTCACTAACAAAGATTTCTTATCGTTATTCACTAGTCATCTGTCGGTACTAAATTATCTGATGCAAAATGATATTCTCTACATTAATTGTACAGAATGTAGCAAATGATATCATTTATTCATCGTTATTGTTAACGCAGTTCTGTTTATCATGGTAAATAATTGATAAACACAGCACATATGGGATGGAAACTATGGTGCTGAGAATGGTTGGAAAGGACTAAAAACAGTACTAAACACAGCAAGAACAATTATCCTCGGGATAATTGATTAAAGGCAGGTTGCGATAGAGAAATTACGGGGGAAAAATGATTATGAAACCTAGTAATCAAAATGAAGCAAATTAGAATATTCGTGTAGTAAGTTGTAGGCCGAAGATTTAACAATAAGAAGAATTATTCAGTGCGAAATAGACAACGAAAACGATACAAAGGAAGTACATACAAAAAAGTTGAATAAGGTTATTATAACAGGACATCAAGTCGCTCAAATAGCATCTTCCTCGTAACTGGTTAGAACACCCATCCAAAACAAAACTCAATAGATATGTTTGCTGTGAATCCAAGACAATTGAAAACAGAGGCCAAATATGCAAATGTATAAAGGAAAGCTTTAAAAAAGTGTTTGGAGTTACAAACGAAATGAACAGATATTACAGAAAAAGTGCAAGGATGATTGTGAATTACGGGATAAGAAAGCGCACGATAGAAACAACTATTGTACCCCGTTAGTTGTTCTGTATCATTAATGAATGTCTCTAGAAAAGCTATTGGGGTTTACTAACACCAAGAGGGATGGAAAAAGCATATAATAATAAACTTTAAAATAATAAATATAAGCGCCCACCTATAACTAATTGACTGAAATCTTTTTTCTATATTATTTTTTTAGTGTTTTTCCGTTATATTTTAATAAGTAATCTCTGTTCTAAATTAAACGGGTATATTTCGATGATCGACCCCATCTATACAATATTTTCGTGTCTTTGATTTCCTCATTTTTTTGTATTCGCTTTTTTTAGCCTTATGATTATAGACGGGTTACACTTGGAACTAGATTAAATGATATGATGGGGCTAATGAAGGCAGTATGGAATCAAGGATCAAATTCTCCAACTGGTTTACATGGTCCTCTAATTAATTATCAAATTCCTGCTATTACATTACGGGCAGAACAGAAACACCGATCCACAGTTCCACGTAGTTCAGAAGTTCTTTCAGTTACAAGGTAATAATATATGCTTCATACTGTTGGTTTCGTTTGTAAAGTAAACAATAACAATATTTCCAGAATATAATAAGGTCATGTTATAGCTTGTTACTTTCAATCTCTAACTACATACAAGCTGATAAGTTTGTTTATTGCTAAATATTAACATCATGTTGATGTTAAAGATTTCAATTGTCCATTCATAAGGAACAAATTGTTTGGAATGTAAACAATATTAATAAGATTTTCCTCAATAATTGTTTAGAATAAATAATATATTTGTAATATCCCAATGAGTAGAAAAATTAGATTTTCTGACGTTTCGTGACTCAATGTAAACCACTTCTTCAGAGAGTAGATAACCAAATCAGATTTTTTGTGTGGTTATTTATTCTCTGAAGAAGTGGCATACAATACGTCACGAAACATCAGAAAATCTCATTTTTTTTACTCTTTGGGATATTACAACTCCGCCTGTAGCTCTTCTAGAGTTACTGCCGGTCCCAAGCCCGGGTAAAGGAGGAGGGTTGGGCATGGGGTTAGCGTCCCCATCCCGTAGAAAACTAACTCGCTAAAAAACGCTTACCAGAAAAAATAATTCAAACCATTTTAACTCTGCCCTGAGAGTTAGAAGGTCTTCATTTAGAAGAATTATGACGCTTCATGGTGAAAGCCGAGTTCCTTCGGAAGCCACGAGACCGATGCCCCTTCTAACAACCAGAGCAAAAATTTTTATAGGTACATGGAACGTTAGAACAATGTGGGAAACCGGGAAGACCAGCCAAATAGCAACGGAAATGAGGAGATACAACTTGGCGTACTGGGAATCAGCGAAACCCACTGGACCCAAGCTGGACAGAAAAGGCTAGCTACGGGAGAGATGCTGCTATACTCCGGTCACGAAGAGGAAAATGCTCCACACACTCAGGGAGTTGCTCTAATGCTGTCCAAAGTAGCACGAAATGCACTTGTAGGATGGGAATCCCACGGATCCAGAATCATCAAAGCATCATTCAAAACAAAGAAGGAGGGGATCTTAATGAATATTATCCAATGTTATGCACCCACCAATGATAGCAACGACGACATTAAAGATCAATTCTACGAGCGGCTGCAGTCAATCATAGAGAAATGCTCAAGAAAGGACCTCACCATTCTGATGGGAGATCTAAATGCCAAAGTCGGAATAGACAACATCGGATATGAAGATATCATAGGACGACATGGACTGAGAGAGAGAAACGAGAATGGGGAAAGATTTGCAAATCAGTGTGCATTCAACAAATTGATCATAGGAGGCACAATATTTTCACACAAACGTATACACAAAGCTACATGGATCTCACCGGACCACACTACAGAGAACCAGATAGACCATATTTGCATCAACAAAAAATTCCGAAGGACAATGGAAGATGTGAGAACCAGGAGAGGTGCTGACGTAGCTTCAGATCACCACCTAGTTGTAGCCAATTTAAAACTGAAGCTAAAAAAGAACTGGACAAGTGGACAAACAGTACTACAAAGGTTCAATACAGCCTTCCTTCGAGATACTGACAAACTCAATGAATTCAAGATAGCTCTCAACAACAGGTTCCAAGCCTTTCAAGATCTACTGAACGAAGAAGAAACTACCATGGAGGACAACTGGAAAGGCATCAAAGAAACATTGACTTCAACGTGTCAAGAGGTTCTGGGCCTAAAGAAACACCATCATAAGGAATGGATCTCTATAGAAACACTGGACAAGATCAAAGAAAGGAAGAACAAGAAGACAGCAATTAACAACAGCCGAACACGAACAGAGAAAGTCCAAGCACAAGCTGAATACATAGAAGCAAACAAGCAAGTGAAGAGGAGCATTAGAGCCGACAGGAAGAAATACGTGGAAGAATTAGCAACGACGGCAGAAGAAGCTGCTAGAGAAGGAAATATGAAACAGCTTTACGATACAACGAAGAAACTAGCGGGGAAATACAGTAAACCAGAGAAACCGGTCAAGGACAAAGAAGGTAGGCCAATCACTGAAATTCAACAACAGCAGAACAGATGGGTAGAATACTTCGAGGAACTCCTGAATAGGCCGGCTCCAATGAATCCACCGGACATCGAAGCAGCACACACAGATCTTCCTATAGATGTAAATCCACCAACAACGGAAGAAATCAGAATGGCCATCAGAAAAATTAAGAGTGGGAAAGCAGCAGAACCTGACAACATACCAGCTGAAGCACTGAAGTCAGGCATCGAAGTAACTACAAGCATGCTTTACCTTCTATTCAAAAAAATTTGGGAGGAGGAACAAGTGCCGATGGACTGGAAAGAAGGACACCTCATCAAGATTCCAAAGAAAGGAGATCTGAGCAAATGTGAAAACTACAGAAGCATCACACTACTGTCAATACCAGGGAAAGTCTTCAACAGAGTGTTGCTGAACCGGATGAAGGATGCAGTAGATGCCCAACTTCGAGATCAACAAGCTGCATTCCGAAAGGATCGGTCGTGCACAGACCAAATTGCAACACTACGGATCATCGTCGAACAATCAGTTGAGTGGAACTCGTCACTGTACATCAACTTCATTGATTATGAAAAGGCATTCGACAGTGTAGATAGGAGGACATTATGGAAACTTCTTCGACATTACGGAGTTCCTGAGAAGATTGTCAATATTATCCGGAACTCATACGACGGACTACAGTGCAAAGTAGTGCATGGAGGACAGCTGACAGATGCACTCCTAGTAAGGACCGGAGTCAGACAAGGCTGTCTACTCTCTCCCTTCCTCTTTCTTCTGGTGGTCGACTGGATTATGAAGACCTCGACATCTGAGAGAAAACGCGGAATACAATGGACAGCTCAGAATCAGTTAAACGATTTGGACTTCGCAGATGACCTAGTCCTCCTATCACGTACACACGAACAGATGCAGATGAAGACAGCCAGTGTAGCAGCAGTCTCTGCATCAGTAGGCCTCAGCATACACAAAGGGAAAACGAAGGTCCTCAAATTCAAAGCGGAGAACAGCAATCCAATCACTCTTGATGGCGAAACTCTGGAAGATGTAGAATCCTTCACATATCTGGGAAGCATCGTCGATAGACATGGAGGTTCAGATGCAGACGTAAAGGCGAGGATTGGCAAAGCAAGGGCCACATTCCTACAATTGAAGAACATATGGAACTCAAAACAACTTTCAACCAATATCAAAGTAAGAATCTTAAATACGAACGTCAAGGCAATTCTACTGTATGGAGCTGAAACTTGGAGAACTACAACAACCACAATCAAGAAAGTACAAGTATTTATAAATAGCTGTCTACGCAAGATACTCAACATCCATTGGCCGGATACCATCAGCAATAGCCTTCTGTGGGAGAGAACAAACCAACTTCCAGCTGAAGAGGAAATTAGGAAAAGACGATGGAAATGGATAGGACATACATTACGCAAATCGTCAAACTGCATCACGAGGCAAGCCCTAACTTGGAATCCTGAAGGGAAGCGGAAAAGAGGAAGGCCAAAGAACACATTACGTCGGGAAATAGAAGCAGATATGAAAATGATGAATTACAACTGGAAGGAGCTGGAAAGTATTGCCCAGGACAGGGTTGGATGGAGAATGCTGGTGAGCGACCTATGCTCCTACACGAGGAGTAACAGGTGTAAGTAAGTAAGTAAGTTTGGGATATTACAAATATGTTATTTATTTATACCAATTTATTCAATGCTCAGTTTATTCGAAATTATCAAGTCAAACCTTGATAACGATACCTACAATGATTGTTTAGGTTGATATTTGTAAAATAGATGAGAATATTAATATTTTTTTAGTATAATATATAACAAAAAGAATATCTAGGAGGTTTATAAATATAACTAAGAACGTGTCAATTTAACTTGCTCGATTATAATTGTAATTCATTGAACTGTTGATCACTTTAAATGAATACATAACATTCATATTGTATTCTGTGTCTATCGGATGAGATTTACTTTTAAAGACCATAGTTTCCTCGAAGATGTAGGTTTTATTTTTAGGGACATGTCTTTTAGAAAAAGTAAGTGATCATCTATCTGTCCTTCTAGTTTACATACTTTTAAATGTACATGTAAATAATATGTAATCTGTATTTTTGTTGTTGTATTTATATGTCAATCAGTCAGTCAGCTACAACGTAGGACCAGGCACATATATGCATCGTTCTAAGTTGCCATACCTCATTAACACAACAAGATGAACACCGGATTCATAAAAGTCGTTAATTCAGAGGTGGTAATATATAAAAGAAAGATTGCATATAAGGATATAGTACAGGAAGAAAGAATTAGTTCGTAGAAAGAAAGATACCACTGTAAATGATTGTTATAATCGCTTCATATTCTTTTTTTGGATAAAATCATGTTTATCTATTAAATGGTGTTTTATAAACTAATATTATGTCATTATAATTACTTCTTTTTATACTGGTAATAATTATTTGTATAATTTCAGATTACTTGAAGGTATTCTTCGTTCGATAAATAATTTACAAGAAAGATTTCATCAATCATTTTGGTATTATTTTCTCCCTAATCCATATCGATATATTTCAATTGGTGTTTATATGCCACCAGTTTTGATCATGATTTTAAGCCTTTTATTAAAGGTTAGTTCTTTAAATGTTTTGATTTTACTTAATCATACTACTTATGAGTAGTTAGTAAGTTGTTATAATTAATTAACGGTGATTTACTTACTTATTTATGCCTGTTACTCCTCGTGAAAGAGCATAGGCCGCTCACCATTATTCTCCATCCAACACTGTCCAGAGCAATCCTTTCCAGTTCTTTCCAGTTGTTATTCATCCTTTTCATATCTGCTTCTATTTCCCGACGTAATGTGTTCTTTGGCCTTCCTCTTTTCCGCTTCCCTTCAGGATTCCAATTTAGGGCTTACCTCGTGATGCAGTTTGACGATTTGCGTAATGTATGTCCTATCCATTTCCATCGTCTTCTCCTAATTTCCTCTTCATCTGGAAGCTAGTTTGTTCTCTCCCAGAGAAGGCTGTTGCTGATGGTATCCGGCCAACGAATGTTGAGTATCTTGCGTAGACAGCTATTTATAAATACTTGTACTTTCTTGATTGTGGTTGTTGTAGTTCTCCAAGTTTCAGCTCCATACAGTAGAACTGCCTTGACGTTCGTATTTAAGATTCTCACTTTGATATTGGTTGAAAGTTGTTTTGAGTTCCATATGTTCTTCAATTGTAGGAATGTGGCCCTTGCTTTGCCAATCCTCGCCTTTACGTCTGCATCTGAACCTCCATGTCTATCGACGATGCTTCCCAGATATGTGAAGGATTCTACATCTTCCAGAGTTTCGCCATCAAGAGTGATTGGATTGCTGTTCTCCGCTTTGAATTTGAGGACCTTCGTTTTCCCTTTGTGTATGCTGAGGCCTACTGATGCAGAGACTGCTGCTACACTGGCTGTCTTCATCTGCATCTGTTCGTGTGTACGTGATAGGAGGACTAGGTCATCTGCGAAGTCCAAATCGTCTAACTGATTCTGAGCTGTCCATTGTATTCCGCGTTTTCTCTCAGATGTCGAGGTCTTCATAATCCAGTCGACCACCAGAAGAAAGAGGAAGGGAGAGAGTAGACAGCCTTGTCTGACTCCGGTCCTTACTTGGAATGCATCTGTCAGCTGTCCTCCATGCATGATCTTGCACTGTAGTCCGTCATATGAGTTCCGGATAATATCGACGATCTTCTCAGGAACTCCGTAGTGTCGAATAAATTTCTATAACGTTCTCTTATCCACACTGTCAAATGCCTTTTCTTAATCAATGAAGTTGATGTATAGTGACGATTTCCACTCAACTGACTGTTCGATGATGATCCGTAGTGTTGCAATTTGGTCTGTGCACGACCGATCCTTACGGAATCCAGCTTGTTGATCCCGAAGTTGGGCGTCTACTCCGTCTTTCATCCGGTTCTGCAACATTCTGTTAAAGGCTTTTATTGGTACTGACAGTAGTGTGATGCTTCTGTAGTTTTCACATTTGCTCAGATCTCCTTTCTTTGGAATCTTGATGAGGTGTCCTTCTTTCCAGTCCATCGGCACTTGTTCCTCCTCCCAAATTTTTTTGAATAGAAGGTAAAGCATGCTTGTAGTTACTTCGATGCCTGACTTCAGTGCTTCAGCTGGTATGTTGTCAGGTTCTGCTGCTTTCCCACTCTTAATTTTTCTGATGGCCATTCTGATTTCTTCCGTTGTTGGTGGATTTACATCTATAGGAAGATCTGTGTGTGCTGCTTCGATGTCCGGTGGATTCATTGGAGCCGGCCTATTCAGGAGTTCCTCGAAGTATTCTACCCATCTGTTCTGCTGTTGTTGAATTTCAGTGATTGGCCTACCTTCTTTGTCCTTGACCGGTTTCTCTGGTTTACTGTATTTCCCCGCTAGTTTCTTCGTTGTATCGTAAAGTTGTTTCATATTTCCTTCCCTTGCAGCTTTTTCCGCCGTCGTTGCAGGTTCTTCCACGTATTTCTTCTTGTCGGCTCTAATGCTCTTCTTCACTTGCTTGTTTGCTTCTATGTATTCAGCTTGTGCTTGGACTTTCTCTGTTCGTGTTCGGCTGTTGTTAATTGGTGTCTTCTTGTTCTTCCTTTCTTCGATCTTGTCCAGTGTTTCTATAGAGATCCATTCCTTATGATGGTGTTTCTTTAGACCCAGCACCTCTTGACACGTTGAAGTTAGTGCTTATTCGATACCTTTCCAGCTTTCCTCCATAGTAGTCTCTTCTTCGTTCAGTAGATCCTGTAAGGCTTGGAACCTGTTGTTGAGAGCTATCTTGAATTCATTGAGTTTGTCAGTATCTCGAAGGAAGGCTGTATTGAACCTTTGTAGTACTGTTTGTCCACTTGTCCAGTTCTTTTTTAGCTTCAGTTTTAAATTGGCTACAACTAGGTGGTGATCTGAAGCTACGTCAGCACCTCTCCTGGTTCTCACATCTTCCATTGTCCTTCGGAATTTTTTATTTATGCAGATATGATCTATCTGGTTCTCTGTAGTGTGGTCCGGTGAGATCCATGTAGCTTTGTGTATACGTTTGTGTGAAAATATTGTGCCTCCTATGATCAATTTGTTGAATGCACACTGATTTGCAAATCTTTCCCCATTCTCGTTTCTCTCTCTCAGTCCATGTCGTCCTATGATATCTTCATATCCGATGTTGTCTATTCCGACTTTGGCATTTAGATCTCCCATCAGAATGGTGAGGTCGTTTCTTGGGCACTTCTCTATGATTGACTGTAGCTGCTCGTAGAATTTATCTTTGATGTCGTCGTTGCTATCATTGGTGGGTGCATAATATTGGATAATATTCATTGTGATCCCCTCCTTCTTTGTTTTGAATGATGCTTTGATGATTCTGGATCCGTGAGATTCCTATCCCACAAGTGCATTTCGTGCTACTTTGGACAGCATTAGAGCAACTCACTGAGTGTGTGGAGCATTTTCCTCTTCGTGACCGGAGTACAGCAGCATCTCTCCCGTATTTAGCCTTTGTTGTCCAGCTTGAGTCCAATGGGTTTCGCTGATTCCCAGTACGCCAAGTTGTATCTCCTCATTTCCGTTGCTATTTGGCTGGTCTTCCTGGCCTCCCACATTGTTCGGACGTTCCATGTACCTATGAAAATTTTCGCTCTGGTTGTTAGAAGGGGCATCGGCCTCGTGGCTTCCGAAGGAACTCGGCTTTCACCATGAAGCGTCATAATTCTTCTAAATGAAGACCTTCTAACTCTCAGGGCAGAGTTTAAATGGTTTGAATAATTTTTTCTGGTAAGCGTTTTTTAGCGAGTTAGTTTTCTACGGGATGGGGACGCTAACCCCATACCCAACCCTCCTTTAACCGGGCTTGGGACCGGCAGTAGCTCTGGAAGAGCTACAGGCGGAGTTTAACGGTGATTAGTTATGATTTTATAGTATATTGAACTGTTGTTAACTTTTTTCTTGATACTAGTTCCCAACAATAAGAAATAAGATATACATTTATTAGATTGGTAATTAATTTTAATCGTCAGAGTCTAATATTCTTATGACGAGAGGTGTGTTGATGTCACTTTTTATGTATGTGGAGCACATGGCTCTGATGTAGAGAGAAGACTTCCATGTTGAATAAAGTATTATGTTTTGAACTGATAGCAATCAAGTTGGAGTTTGCTTTTAATGTGTATAACTTCAATATTTGGTTTATTCCCGACTGTCTTTCAGAGTTAAGACGATATCTTCCATATTCCAACAAATAATGGACACTATTTTACAGGATATCCGAGGTAATCCAGGTTATTCGGATGATATAATCATAAGAGTTGATAAAGTGCATGTACTAAAGCAACTTGATCTTGTGCTATCACATATAATTGAATATGGCCAACGTCTCCTTACAGAAAAGTGTGAATTTTGTACACATCAGGTACAGCATATTGGGTTCAGAATAGATAAAGACGGAAGATAGCAAAACCCAGAGAATATTAAAGCAGTATAAACTACGCTGAACTAACGCCAAATTATTAATCGATTGTCATTTAAAAACTAGGTGTTAACGTTGCTCATAGAAAAATAATCCTGTTGACATTATTTGAAACTTACCCTTTCATGCCATAAGATCATACTGAAAACATCGTCGTTGATCTTTCGATTCTCTGTTCGTAATAATTTCTGTTCTTTAATGAAGTATTTTGATGTAACTTACCAAGGGTTATGTGGATATAAAGTATTCACTGTAGTTTTTATCTGTTAACTTGTCTTTCCTTAAAACATAAACTCTCTCTTATTATTATATAGTTTTACCACCATTGTATCATCGTTGTGTTTATTAGTCACTCAGTCTACCTAGGTATGTTAGATTCACTCTCGTGTCTGCCTAATATATGCATCATCAGCTGTATTAGCCTAAACAAAAAACTTTGGTACAAATTTTATATTAGCGTATCATTCATTTACTCGATACATCTGTTAATACATCATTTCCTTTTATTTACCGTATTTCTCAAAAACTTATAATTTTTTAGCCAGTTCTCTTTTGGATATTATTAAATCAATCCGATTCGGATAATAATAATGATGATGATGATCAAATGATGATGAATAAAAAAATAGACTCGTCTATATTAACCAATTCTAATTCATCTCAATTAGATAATTATCATATTGAGAAATTAGTCGATGATAATACTCAATTAATTAATAATGACCAAACAATTCGTCAGCGTGATCAAAAAAAGTCAATCATTGAAAAAAAATCGATTGTGAATGAAAGAAAAAATGATCAAAATGAAAAAGTAACTTTTGATTTTAATCATATCTATAAGGTTTTATATTTTCCTGTTGTACAATATGAAGGACTGTAGTTATTCAGTCTCTGTTGGGAAGTGTGAATGATTGGCGAATTGTGTCGTCTTCACTATTTAGCCACAGGTTTTTATCAAAGCTATGTAGTGGTCATAAGTAGGATTCACAACACGTGTTTTGTTCTATATGGGACTTATCAACTAGATGTATCTTCATCTCAGTATTGGTGTCCTGAACATCAACAACAGAAAAACACAAGCTCTTACAACTAAAATCCACAAGCTAGTGGCTACTTGGACTCTGCACCTCAGTGAATAGTACTTTGGTTTTAGAATTGAAAGGTACTGGGTTCGTGGCGCACTGTGAACATCAACACTAGGATGCCGGTAATTTGAAGTGACGAGTCCCGGGTAAGACAAATTTCGCATCCTAAATTTGGTGCCAATCATCATACAACTTTAATAAAAATTCGTGACTAAATAGCATTGTCGAAGAAACCTACTCAGGCTTTACATATACCAATAGAGACTGACCGAAAACAGTCTTTGTAATTCTCGTGTTTGTGTATTTTTACAATTTTTACAACTTAGCTATACCATCGTTGAAAACTAAGAATTATTAGACGGCATATTTGACCTAGTATTGAGACTCAGGGTACATATTCACAACTGAGACACTAGAGATTGAACCCAGGACCTTTGATCTCATACGCAAATGGTTAATCTTTTGACCACTGAGCAGCCATTTAACGGTGTTAATATCTAGCTTCGATTAATTAACAATATTTTACAACTCATCCATTGGCAACGATGACTAGCTGTCATACCTATTTGTCAATAAAAGTTGTTATTATCTCAACCACAACTACTCATGACGGTTTTTACTATCCATTTCCAATTATATTCAGCTTACAGTACTTACTTACTTACTTACGCCTGTGAAGAAGCATAGGCCGCTCACCAACATTCTCCATCCAACACTGTCCAGCTCTTTCCAGTTGTTACTCATCCTTTTCATATCTGCTTCTATTTCCCGACGTAATGTGATCTTTGGCCTTCCTCTTTTCCGCTTCCCTTCAGGATTCCAATTTAGGGCTTGCCTCGTGATGCAGTTTGACGATTTGCGTAATGTATGTCCTATCCATTTCCATCGTCTTCTCCTAATTTCCTCTTCATCTGGAAGCTAGTTTGTTCTCTCCCAGAGAAGGCTGTTGCTGATGGTATCCGGCCAACGAATGTTGAGTATCTTGCGTAGACAGCTATTTATAAATACTTGTACTTTCTTGATTGTGGTTGTTGTAGTTCTCCAAGTTTCAGCTCCATACAGTAGAACTGCCTTGACGTTCGTATTTAAGATTCTCACTTTGATATTGGTTGAAAGCTGTTTTGAGTTCCATATGTTCTTCAATTGTAGGAATTTTGTCCTTGCTTTGCCAATACTCGCCTTTCAGCTTACAGCGGATTAGTTGAATTATCATTGTCCATTAAATAATGTAGAAGAAAACTGTTAGATTTACCCATCGTCTGTGAAGGAGTTCATTACTATATATATATATATAACGGTTCATTCGATGGACTTATAGGGTTATACTTGCTATGTTACCATTGTGTAGTACTAATACATCTGACGAACTGGTTCAAATTCTAATTAGTAATAATGGTCAAATTTGTGCTATTCATTGTCAACTAAAAATCAATTAATTCAATCGATTAGATTTGACTCTTATAATACAAGAATTTCATCTAGTCATACTGAGTTTGTATATGAATTATGCTGAAGTTGTATTCAGAAATACAAAATGGATCGACTTTTGCTTTGGCTACTGAAACTTTTCTAACTTTTTTTCTTGTAAATGATTCTCCACGTTCTAATTTTTAAATTATACTAACTAGCATCACGAAATTTGGTGTAATAAGTACTTATACTATTGGTAATCATGTTACTCGTCTATTTCCTGCAGATTTGTATACTCGATGTTGAGCCATAGTCAGTCATAATCAGTGTAGAATCTGAGACTCATATGCATTGGTTAAAGTTGCCACATTATATCAGCGCAACGAGATGAGGTTATCGAGACAAATTGAGAAATGGAAGTAGTGACAATATCAGTTGTATTAGGAAATATTCAGCATAAACACTATGATTCGATGAGAAAGAGTGAATTCATGGATTGAGAGGAGTATAGGAGTTTTAAATCTCAAAGTATATATATATATATATATATATATATATATATATATATATATAGCTATTTTACTAAGAGACTTCTCTTTTTTGCATTTTTACAGCAACTTGAATCTAATTCACCGTTATACTCTAGCGCTACTCCTCCATATATACTATGCTTAATTGTGCGTCTTACTTTATGCTTTTCTACGGGATTTTTATTGCATTCTTCACCTAAGTATTTATTTAAGTTATCCAACTTAATATTAGTTGGCAGCCAATCAATCAATTCCACTTTTAAGTTGGTTGATATATTTCTAATCGGTATTACTACTTTAATAATTGCCGTCATGATTGTTTTACCAATCCTTATGCTTATCATAAAAAAGTAAGTTCTGTTTTTATTTATTGTTTTTCTTTCAAAGAAAGTGTGTAACTAATATCTATTTTATATGAAATTGTCACTCAGTCGTAATTACTTTGGAGCCTGGTGCATATATGCGTTTGTCTGATCGTAGCCGCTATCCTGACTTGATTGTGAGACTTCAATATCGTAATCATCCAGTCAAGCTATTTTGTTTGAGAAGTTCGTTTCCCTAGGTCTAACCATCCTATACAGTTTGGTTAAAACGCAGTAAGATCGGGGACAGAAAATTAAGTTCTGAGGGCGACGTTGTATTACTGGTTGTACAGGTATATAACCTCAGTAAGACATTGGTCTCAAGTAGCGTCTGCACTGATGTTAACTTCTCGCAACGAAATAGTGGTTTATAAAATTTTGGGCCTGGAAACGGCACAACTCATCTTACTCGGGGGATTTCCATTGTCGGCGTTAAAGCTTTCGGAGTATGGAACTAGTACGTTTGAAATACTCACAAGAAGCCCACGTGTCACGAACCCCAAGCAGTTCTTCCTTGGGCTCTGAGGTCACTCCAATAGATCATAAAAATCACCCTTAACCCACTTTCCATTTTAGGCGCCTTAAGAACTAGTATCCTACTATGGTGTTGACAACCAAGAAGTGACAACTGCCATCATACCTCTAAAAACACTTGGTATGGAATTGTATGCTAACTATAAAATTTAGATGAAAAGTCAACTTCTGTAGTCCCCATTTTCTGATACTTCACACTGAGATGGCTGTAAATTTCAACTGTCAGTATTCGATCTGTAACTAACCAACAGCTGATAATTATATGACACTAACATAATCAACCAGTACTAATACACGTTCTTCAAGATATCAACTTCCATATTTATTAGATTCAATCATTCATACTTTTTGTATATGTAGTTCATGTGAACATGCATATATGTATAATCAGCTACCTCAGATGAGTGTTGAGCAACCAATGCAGGTTTTTAATTACTAAGTTTGTCATATGAGTATTTTTTTTTAGGTCGAATACCTTCTAAGCATTTGCTACATTAGTTGTAAGGTAATGTTTCAAGATCAAGGATTTTCATTGGGTTTTTCATTCCAGTTTGGAACTCATCAGTATTGACCTGTATCATAAAACACTCTCGAAAAACCATCAAATTACATTTAACTAATATCAAACAGCTTTCACTAACAGGGGAGCTCAAATAATTCCAGTTAGCCTTTTGAAAGCATAGAGTAATAAAATCGTGATATTTAAGCCAGTCAGTTAATCATAATGTTGGGACTGCTGCAAATATGGATTAATCAAGATTGTTATTTGATAGCACGATCCAGTCCAGTGACTATGGAATGATGCTAAGCTTTTGTTTACAAACCAATAGCCTTTGTTCAACTCACTTTTATTCTAGCCAGTATGACACGTTGAAGTAGGTAGCTGTTGAGCCTTACAACGAGCCTTTAACCCTTAGACCGCTGAATTAGTATCTAACGGTCTACATTTCTAACTTTTGTTGATTCGCAGTATATCACAATGATCATCTAATTGCATCGATGATGAGTGCCTTACTCTTGACATGGTTTAACTTCACCAGTTACAGCTTCTCACTAAAAATTCAGGAACTCATCTCGAAACAAATCAATAGTAAGCACATTATTGTATCTTTGTTTGATGGTTTTGTAAGGATTAGTTATTTGAATTTTGAAGTGTGTAGCATTAAATTCAAACTAAGCGTTTTAAATGCCAAATATCTATCACAAGAGGTTATATTTCCTAGATTTTGATATTTGACAAGTTCGTGAGTGTACGTTTCTGAGAAGTCCCATACTATGATGAAACACTTATTCAATGTTTTCTAACTTTTAGTAATATCCGAAGCTGGTGTCATTGATCCCTTGTAAACAATCGTTCGTAAAAATCTTTTTCATTAAAAAATTATCCTCTCCTGTCATCATGGTTTTCCACTGTCTAATGTTTTCCTATTGATTTTCTCATATTTCATAGACTTTTGAATTTATATGAGGCAGATAAACAAGATCTTACCGGCCAGTTATGTCTTTTTAGTTGGGCATTATTTTTAAGTTGTTTGACATGCTTAAATATATCATCAGCTGTTGTTCTCGGTATTCCAATTGTTCCTCTGTTAAACTTATTTGTACAGAGAAAAGATAATATCGAAATTAAAAAGTGAGTATTTTTTTCTTTGCAATTTTTAATAAGAGCAATTTTGTAAAGTACGAATTATTTGTTGTTAACCTAATGTAAGCATCGTTGAACTATATATTCATAGTCAGCATGGAGTTATGAATTTCATTGAATGTCTATAGAATCACGCACCAATCTAAGTTAGACAACCATCGAGAACCTGGGAGCACTGGATGGCCGTTTTGTTCTAGCATGGGACTCCTTAGCAGTGCACATCCACGACTCCGCAACCGGAATTCGAACTTAGGACATTCAGGCTTGCTCACACTGACTGGTGTTAAATATGTACACCATTGAATCCCAGCTTACTCGTTTAGAGGTTAAGAGTTCGCACACAAGACCGAAGGTTCCGGGATCGGTTTCCAGTTGCAGAGTCGTGAACCCATTGCTTTCAGGTTTCCAATGGTTGTCTAAATTAGATCGGCTCGTTATCTCAATATGTACTCATAATTATCACCGTATCATATATAAGCTAAAATAACTTTGTGGATCAGTACTTAAACCACAATTTTCGTGTGATCAACAGGATATCATTGTCAGAAAAATCTATTACAAAATCTATATTAGTATTTGCTCTGTCGTCTCACGTCCACTTTATACATTTGTATTCCTTAGAATTCCTTATAATGTCTGTCTATAGCTGTTAATGAGGATGATATATGTTAAATCTCTGATAAACCAATATATATATATATATACATATATATATATATATATATATATATATATATATATATATATATATATATATATATATATAATTTTCGGATTTAACATAAGTTTTATATGTGAGAAATCTCGATAGGTCTAGGACTGCTAGAATAGAGACTGTATAAAGGCTCTTTGAGTAGCTAAGCGCGTTAGGTAATGTCATTTGTACATGAAGTTCCCAATTATATGTGTAGACAATATAAAAAAAGACTGATGGATTGATTCGAGCCTCATTACTCCACGCACTTCGATTTGAGCAACTATATATCTACCGATCTACCGCATGCATAACCTGCGCCTCAATATTCTGTGGATTATTCCATGCTTCGTAAAATTGATTTGCACCATGCATGTCAGACTGCAGCTCCAAAATGGATTGAGCTCTTAAAGTAACACAAATCAGGTAAATACAGACATTAGCTATTGTAACTGTTGATATCGATTTGAATGTTACTTTTTAGAAAAAAGTATTTAGAAATCAGTCACCGGTTGATAATAATTCCCGTTTGATGTCAGTAAAGTGATTGCCAAATCTAACTATTTAGAGATCTTTTTATAATACTAATAATAATAGTAATGAATTAATTAAAATTGGACACGTACACCATTGAATGCTGGCTCTATGGTCTAAAGGTTAAGTGTTTATGCACAAGACCAAATGTGCTGCAGTCGATTCTCAGTTGCGGAGCCGTGGACGCACTTCGCCGATGAGTTCCATACTAAATCGAAATGGTTGTCTAGTGCTTCCACGCTTTAAGCGGTGACCTAACTAGTATAAATGCTTGATATAAAATCTATGAAAATACTACTACTAATAGTAATAATAATATTTCTGTTCACAATCCTTTATTCCAGATCATTTACAATGAAACTAGTAAAATGTTTCACTATCATTGGCTGGTTAATTACATTTACACCGATATTAATTATTGTAATGTGTATCATCAATTCTAGAATTCAACAACAACATTATCCAATAAGTGTAAATGCTGTTCGAAATTGTTATGAAAAATGCATTTTACAAAGTTTGATTGAAGCAGATTTATTTGGTTGTTGGACATGGCCAGTTATTACATGTGGATATACATCATTATGGTTATTAACATGGTTAGCTATTTTCTGAATAATGATCATAATGTTAAAGGAATAGAACATGGAAACATGCATGAATTGTTATTGTGCAAAAATATATCACATAATTCTGATATAAACTTCGTCTTCTCATTGCATTACGGAAAATTAATTGTTATTGTTGTTTCATTTTTCTTATGTATATTTTTCAATTATCCATTTATCAGTTCATTTTTGTATCTAATATATATGTATTTGTAATAAATTGTATTCAGTTGATGTGTTTTCTTTTGTTTGTGAAGTTTTGTGTTGGATTTTATAAGTCTCATCTAAAGATAAAACTTTTGCGGGTACATACTCTACAATGCCTTTGTTTTCTTTGATTGAGATCATGAACCGATTGATGTTAGACCACCTTTGGAAACCTGGAAGCACTGGACGGCCGTTTTGTCCTATTGTGGGACTCCTCAGTAGTGCGAGTCCACGATACCGCTCGCGGAGTTCGAACCCAGGGTCTTCGGTCTCGCGCGCGAACGCCTAACCAACTGTACCACTGAGCCGGCATCCAATGGTGATAGTGTCTAACATCAACCAATCCACGAAATTACGCGACCAACTTCCGTTGTACTGAGGTAGATACCTGTCTCTACTCGACATGGATTAGCTCCACTGGTCACGGTTTCTCACCTTTGTTTTCGTCAACAATTAGTTCAGCTCAAAATTTGGTGAAAATGCATTTTGTTTAAATACAGAAATATTCTGTATTGTATTTAGTCGGAATTTGTTATAACCTGTGTGCCCTGCTAATGTATAACGTAACGATACCGCTAATTAGTGAGCAGTGACTTATTGGTCGGAACAATGACGCGTAAACCCGTATGAGCAGTCTAGAGTCCTTATTGGTCCCACTTCCTGTCTAGCCCAGCCAGTTAAATCCAGAACACCAATCCGAGCCTCTGCGATATGAATCGTGTATTTCAAACACACTCGGTCTATATACCAATCAGACAGATCACATCGTACCAATAAAATACGAAACAACATTTGTACAATAATTAGCCAAATGTGGCTGTGAATGAGGGAGGTATTAATTAATAGACAGGGCATAATTCAATGATAGTAGATCGTATAATAATAGTTCATAGGTCAAAATAAAGCTCATATTAAGAAGGAAATGAATATGAATATTTTAGCCATTTAACAATTATATGATGGGGCATAACAGAATTACTTAGCAAATAAAACTTATTATGTAGATTTGATATTCATTGGCTATGCTGATCTATTACAACTTTCAGAGATGATTCCTTAAAAGTGTAAACCACTGGTGTTAATGATGACTACTATTTTGTAAGATTAGGTCAGTAGTCGCTTAATGTACTGGTTTACTGTTATTGAGTTTCAAATAAAACGAAACGCCCGTCTTAGATCCTACTATTCGTCTCGTTTCATATGTAATCGATAACATTTAGTCAGCATTAAATAATTAGTAGTTCGACAATGATTATCTTTAAACAATTATTCATAATGAGGATTGATCATTAAATGTTAATCATCTGCTTGAAAATCTTTCCTTTTCCGCACATAATAGACCGTTTTGGTGAAAATGAAACTTTTTATTGATTATAATAGGAGTATTAGTAGTAGAGTTATTAATTGTTCCTAAATAAATATAATTCTTTATTGAGTGTTAGTACCGATTTAGGCTCGAATACTCATTTAGGCTATCATTGTATTTGCATAAACAAGGTTATAATTGGCCTAGTTTTTTCAACTATTTAGTCTGAGATATGGTCATCTTCCATATGAACGGAAACCAGCTGTAGGACAAATGAAAACGAGATTAATGGTTAGTTTTTCTTGTCTAAACCGCCTTGGTGATAAGTTTTATCTTCGTAACCAACGGTTAGAGACTTTTTGTAACGTGGGTCAGAATCATCCAATATGGCACAAATGCACTCACTCTTCACCCTCTATTAGAACCTAGGTTTCCAAATTGTCTTAGTTTTTTACAACTTATGAACCCATATTTTCGCCTACAATCATGTTTCCTATGTTTAGTCTTTTTTACTACTTTGAGATTTAGCTTGATGACTTCATCTCGCTATGTTAATGCTGTGCGGCCACTTGAACGGAATCACATATGTACAGGGTTAAATGTTCATATAGCTGATTGATTGCACACCGAATTGTTTTATCAGTGAAAATCTAAGCGGGATGTATTAATTTTATGCCTTAACAATTCGTTGATTACTTAAGCAAATTACAGTTTTAATCAAAATGAATATAATGTTAACGCTGTATTACATATAGTGAGGTTCAACCAGTTACTGCTACTAGTTAGTTGTCACTTTGATTACAGTAACGGAAATCCAGTAGTTTGATTAATCACAACATATTTAGTTGTTTATTTCAGTTACGTCAGGTTAACTGCAGACAGAGATTATTCATGGAGAAAAGTGGAAAACATGGTATATTCAGAAATTCCTAATGATAACATAAAAAATGTCATATTGGTAATTTAATTTGTCTAGGATATAATGTCAATCCGATTGGTAACTGAGTTGACTACAAATCAAGATGACTCACTAGAATTCCATAAAATCCACTTTGATTTTAGTGACTAGTAAGCACATAATTATTGTTAAGTGATTTTTAGAAGTTTCTTATTTTTCAATTTCAATCATATGACTTGGTGAGCCATTATCAGTTGTTACTATTGTAATTGACAATTTATTATTTATTTATTTTAACACAAACATTGGTAAAAGGAGGCACCAAATACATATGCACCACATAAATCATTCGATTTGTGTGAGTTCTGTGATACTGCCCGGGTGCCCAGACCGGAGCAGGTGGTTTTCTTAGGGGACCACATCCCGAGTCTTTGACCTAAAGGTCTGACCCATAAGGCAGTGGAGCATCGTGAGGAGATGCAGTCCCATGGTAGCCGGTGACCAACGATTGGTTCATACGCCATTTGTTCCAGTAGGATACTGGAGCCCATGTGCACCATTGGATTGGGATCCGGTTAGAGCGCCGGACATTCGCCTTTCGTCCTCTCAATTTCGTAAACAACAGCCCCGCCACAAGAAGGTAGTGAGTAGGACTTCCCTGGCAGAGGCTATATACGCGTGGCCGTGTGAGAGCATTTCGAGAGGGAGGACGGGCCCACCCCACTCTCGGCCATACCAGGGCATTTGGGGGCATAATTGACAATTGATAATAATTTATACTGTGTTTATATGAGGCGGAACTGATGTGCATAATACGAACGTAGTAAGAAATCACAGTAATGTACCACATGAATTTTGAATGAGACAGATACAATAAACCAAGTTAATTCTTATTCATTTAAAAGTTCATTTTTTTAACCAATCGAACACCATCTAATCATACTCAATATAGATTACTTATTATATTGATCTGCATATTTAATTAAGTTTACGGTTTATTAAAAGTAAGTGCTAAGGTAACACACATTGGTATTTGGTTAAATTAACTTCTACCATTTTGTTTTAAAACTATTAATCATTATTTATAAAATCTTTCAGATAAATAATTAACATGTTAATGGTGTGTTATTCAAGGACAGTTCAGTATTCAAAATATACAATTGAGCTCTGTTATGTATCAGCTTTATTTAGATTAACTGCATTCTCTTATATATATATATATATATATATATATATATATATATATATATATATATATATATATATATATATATATATATATATATATATATATATATATCAAGAATATTCTTTTGATTAATGTCGGAAGGATTTTTGTGGATATTATAGTAATTTTAATAGTTGAGATCATGAGTCAATTGAAGTTAGACTATCATGGAAAACCTGGAAGTGCTGGACAACCGTTTCGTCCTATTGTTAGACCCCTCAGCAGTGCGCATCCACGATCCGGCCAGCTCAGTGGTCTAGAGGTTAAGCGTTCGAGTGCGAGACTGATAGGTCCTGAGTTCGAATCTCGCGAGGCGGGATCGCAGACGAGCACTGCTGAGGAGTCCCTTACTAGGATGAAACGGTAGTCCAGTACTTCCAGGGTGGTGTAGCTTCAATTGACTCATGATCTCAACCACTGAAACATTCTTTTGAGTTAATTCTGAACTTATGTGAATAAAAGTAGAGGGTATAGAATTATCTAATGCCTAGTTGAGGTCCGCGTAATCATTGTAACACATGGTTAAATGGCTTAGAATCTGCAGCAAATGCGTTGATGGATTCTATCTTTGTCTAAATATACGTATACTTCCTATTCATCAAACTCATCCCTTGTATATTCACGCCTAATCTTTTCTACTACTAATCTCAGATTGACAAAAATAATTTTATTTCGATTTGGTGTTATAATGTAATATTTTGAGTCGATGCATATATAAGCAAGGTTTTACATCGCTCATGACTCACTACTATAAACTGTTTCAAGAAATGCCTTTCTGAAGTGAACCACATATTATTCGATGCAACATGAAATTGTCGAATTTTAAGAACATACTATCGTATTTACGTCGAGCTATTTTCACAGTATCCTACATATTCGAAATTGATGAATTATTCTGCAGACCGGACATCGACTTTTACTTCGAGTATGAGCAGCTCCACAGTATCTACGGGATTTGTCACTGATATTCTTGATATAAAACAATGAATTATACCCGAGGAAGACATAATAAACATATTTCCCAACTTGGAAAGAAATTCGATGAAGCGTAAACTATCTCTAACATCTCATGAACATCGGCATCAGACCTGTAGGTGTGCAGATCAGTAATTTGAGATCCTACTAATTTGAATCACATCTAAAATACATATCAATCAAAACCGTTCTACTAGTATCTCGCTCTAGTCAACATTAAATGTCGAGAAAACCAGTGAGCAAGAAGGCGCAATCGTATTAACTAACTGATATTCCTCTAGTGGTTTCCTCTCCAGAGACGAGTTAAACTTTCAGCAGCCTAATCACAAAGCTCAATTCTGAGCTAATATATCGAAAATGATTTGACTTGATGAATGAGGAATTTATTGACTATCAATGCTTTTCGTATCTATCCTGAAATATGACACGAAAACTAAATTTCGAAATTGAAGGATAACATAAAAACTTTGACTTATTGAAGACGACAAAAGTACTTGCGTTCACATTAAAATGTAATCTGTAAAATAACTTAAGGTTATGTAATTCATTTAAAAGAAAAGCTTTTATGCATTCAAAGATATATTTCTTGGTGTTTTGCGTTAAGGCACAAATAGTAGCAAGCAATGAGTAGAGTAGAAATGGAATGTAAAAAAAAGAAATACAACAGATTAGCAAAAATGAATGTATACGTGTGTATATATTTTGAAAAGTTAGAAAGTGTGATGAGTATAAAATTCAATTTGCTGTCAGTTGATAATAAAATTATGTTTGGTTTGTTTGGCCTTCTTCTTCTTCTTGACCATGCATAATCATTCGTGTAAATTCTTTATAATCGAAATTCCCATCTTGAATCGGTGCACCATGGAATAATTCATCAACTTTCTCATTAGACCATCTATCCCCCATTGTAGTCATTAATTCACGTAAACGTTTCTCACTTATTACACCTATAAATAAATAGAATAAATACATAACTAGCATTTAATTTAAGTGGTGATGATAGTCGAAAAAAAGCATTACTATGATTTTCGACAAGCATGGAACTTGAGTTTGCCCAAGTTACTATTATTTGGCTCGTGGCATCAAATGTAGTTCAATATGATGTGATAATCAACTAATTTACCGGTACTTGAGTATGAGTCACACATTCTTTGCAATCTGACTGAGAATTTTTTTATTTCATTAAAATCACTGAATAATTCTTAATCATACCTTTACTCTGGATGAATGGTTTGTAGTTTTATTTTGTAAAGCATGTGTGAGGTAAAAAATATCAAATAATTAACACGCGCAGACTAATTTATTTTTAGTTTCTTGCTATTAGTTTGCTCTCATTAAAAAGGATAATGAATATCTTTTGCATAAATTACGAGGAATTGATAGAAATAGGATATCCGCATGTGAAAAGCTTCAGTAACAAACATATAGTTCGATAGATTAGATAATGGAATTCAATTGTATCATCAGAGGTCAGGATATGTAACATTTCAGCAACGTTCCTGAATGTTGTTCATTACTGGGACAATCTTAGAATATACCTCATAGCAAGTGATTCGAATATATCACAAATGAGCCCGAAGGAAAAACTTTTACTAAGTCGACAGACTAGTTATTCAAACTGAAACATAAACGAAATTTGAACCAATGAACTGTATATTTAGACCAATAACCGAAACTTTGAAAAGCTAACACGGAAGAACCGAACACTTTAGTTTTTCAGACGAATCCCATTGAAAGTTGACTGAAGATTTGTGGTCGGTAAATTAATCAGTTACATGTAAGTACTTTTACGAATAGTCTTAAAATCAACAATGTGTGGCAAAATAACACATGAAGATGATGTCTAAATTTGGAAGGGAATTCGAGTTTTCGTTATAAATAGGTTTTCTTGTGGTCGGTTTTATGTCACACCTACATGGAGACAGGCCAGATTTCGACAATACTTTCATACTGTTTTACTTGTAGCAATGTGACTTATTCTAAATCTGGACAGACGAACTAATTTAATGTTCTTATGTCATTATATACACATTCACCCTAATTAGTTATTCACATATAACCTTCGGCGTTTTTATGTGTGTCTGTTTGCTCTATTCGTTATTTGTTTTCAACTTGTATTTATATGTCTCTACAGATATTCAATGACATTTTCTAAAGCTGAGTAAAGTGGAAAGCCTTTCTATGCACTATCTCTTACGGCCAACATGCAAAACGTTTGTACGAAATATACCGATCCAAAATAAAAGTATTAAGCCTTTTGATATACCGCCAGCACAAGTCCATGAAGTCACTGACAAGTGGACTGAGTCATGTTGGTAGGTGTAGACTACCTGGTTGGGGACCGCGAGATGATAGCAACCGATGGTTAGAGACCCTGAATGACATGGCTCGGAATCGTTTGCAATGGCGCAGGTGCATACACTCTTTGTGTTCTCCCGAATTATAATCTCCCGATTCCTCCTAGTCTCTTTTTCTCTTTCCCAATTTATTTCACTGTATTATACTCTTTAAATAACATCTCCAAACCCTAACCTTTCAGATTGCTTATACTCTTACTACCTCTATCACTACGGGATTTGAATCGACAACTGCATCTCTGTGCTAATGTATGGCAACTCGAACTGATGTACGTACGTACGAAGTCCTACGTTGTTACTGTTACTGACTGACTGATATACCGCCATTTTAAACGTGTTAATTAGACAGAATATAAACGAAGACAGGTAAGATGTATATATTTCACTAACAGCATTATCATCTAACCATGCTAAATTCAAACTGACACTAAACATACTATATATGATTGTGAACAGAACATATACACTTGTGAGCTTTTGAACCATTTCAACTTTTTTGCACTATTCATTAAAGAGGACTATATAAAGATTTATTAGAAATATCCCACTGAAATGAAGTGATAGTTTTCTTATGTAATGACAAAAAACATGAAACAAAGGGATACATATAAGTTCATTACACATACCTGTCCCCTCAGGATCAAAACAAGCAAAAGCATTTAAAATCGTTTCTTCCGGATCACACCCCATCATTTTCTCACCAAATAATGTTAAAAACATTGTGAAATTTATTTGACCGGGTGCTTGTGAAAGCATATCATTTAAGTACTCGTCGTTTGGCGATTTTCCCAAAGAGATGAAAATATCTTCTAAGTCATGCTTATCAATGACACCATCTTTGGTTGAATCAATCATTAGGAACGCTTCCTGTTTAAAAGATTGAAACGATGAACGATAGTACACTAATTAATACAAACAGTAGTTCAAAAGCTTCTAAAGAACTTTTGTAGTTATATACCGACAGAAATATCTTAAAACTTTTGTAAACGACAACCATGTGGAACCTTTGGTATTGGTTTGGAGTACTATGGTTAAGCTGTCGTAGTCCTCTTTAATCTAACACCAGTCCATGAAGTTATCGACAGTTGGGCTGGCCTGTATAGAGATGTGGTTTTTGGTAGCAGTAATTTACGGTTAACGACTATTAATGACATGGCTGAAAAGTCGTAGTAGTGATGATGATACATACGATATTCTTGCTTTAAATTATGTCCCAATATCGTCTTTTCTTCAACAGAGATTTTTCTTTATTTCTGTAGGACTACACTTCCTTCGTTTAGATCTCCCCACAATTAGCTAAATAACTTCCTCTCTACTTACACGAAGTATGGCAGCTAACGCCGAGGTACATTTGTGTAAAATCGTAACCTGCTAACAGTCTCTGTTAGAGAAACTCAATTCAAAGCACGAACTCCCAGTAAACTTTTCAAAAATATCTCCTCAGCTTAAATAAGGAGGTATCTTAACTAATAATAAACCCAAATGATCAAAAATAGAGCTGTAATAGTCTGCAATAAACACTACTATGTATTTGGACAGTTTAGCTAAAGGTAAGACGAAAGTTGCCATGGTCAAATTCGCAGACTTCGAAACAATTTCGTCTACACTTTACGTTTCGCATCCTATGGACTATAAAACAATGTATTTGTTCAAAACTCAGCAGACTGGTGGGGATTTACAGAAACAACTTATAAAGAACCTGAATCCGGGAACGTACTATTTATAAAACTTCGATGACATATCTATATTCCTGCTGGCAGTGAGAGGAAAAGATTATTGCGGAGACTCATGAATGAACAACATAGTTTCTAATCGCGGGCTTTTAGATGAGAAAGTGATGAAAGCCGCATGTCCGTATGTGTTTTCAAAAGTAGACCCTGTTGCAAACAAAATTATCGAACTTAGTTCCAGTCAAATGATTGTAACAGTGACCTGTTGACATAATAAAGGTTTACGATATAGGCCTGTGCCTGATTTTTACCAACAAAATGAATAATTTTCTAAGGTCTGGAAAATACAATATGACATATTTAATATTACTTTTAAGAAAGTTACAAGCCTACCTTGAATTCGCTGATTTGAGCTTCATTAAACATGGAAAAGACATTTGAAGTGAACCGCTGAGTACGAGTACGAGCTCTACGCTTAGTTTTCGTACAGGCCATCTTGTTTGTTTGAAATACCGCTTGTGTTAGGCAACCAAAGAAGCCGCCTGTTTATTTTCACTATTTAAAAGCCAGTAGCCAACGTCCAACTAGAATAAAACTAGTCATGAAAATAATAAGATATATTTGGGACAAATTGGCGTTGGAAGTTATCGAAGAAAATTTGGTACATAATTTTATGTCATTGTGATGTTTATAATATATATTTAACAAGAAGATTTACTGTGTTTGAGGTTAATGGGAATAGTCAGTCAACTAGATGCTTTAAAATTTTCGTATAACCGAATCATCGTTTGGATGGTGCCCTAGAAAATCCTGCAGTCGATTGACTTTTTATCGAGCTTCCTCAATGTTATTTATTACCTATATTGAACTGACATACTGATATGGTGAAGTAAGCGTGTTCTGTCGATAAAATTGGGGCGAAGTTACTGCCAAATATTGTTTTAGGTGACTCGACCACGAAGCATATTGGTGTTTGTTTAAACCTTCGGTTAAATTCTTCCCATAAAATATAAACACTTTGGCTCAAGACTTTCAGGATTTTGTGCAGGGGTATTTGAGACCTGAAATTTTATTCGTTGTCAGGATAATTTTTGATTTAAAAATGTCTATATAGATGCTTTAGTGGCTGTACATCTGAGTGCAATTAAATCCTATGTTGATTGTTATCGATGTTTCGGACCTGGTTTGAATGCTTCATATTGATGACAGGGTATTTTCGTTGTGTTTCAAGACCCATTATCGTTTATTCGTTTAGAAGAAAGCACATTGGCCGTTAATCCGCTAGTTCAGGTAAATGCCCAAATTATGTAGCACTTATCATAGTGGTCGAAACATGGAATAATTACCATTTAAAATTCCATTTATCACCAATATTTGTGACTGGTAGATATAAGGGTCAATGGTCATACTATCTATAAACTTTCAGTTAAGAAATGAATGAGTTTGTAGTCGAATTGAAATTACCAATTGTAGCGTGGTGTCGGAGTTGAGATTAACTATGAACACCGCTACCAAGAAACACGTGCCAAATGAATCAGAAGGCGTAAGAAGCTCGTTCCAAATGACTCCATAAAATCCCCGAGAAGCCAAATATCAGAAGACAGTTAATGGACCAAGTCGAGGTTTATTAGCTGGCGATCTCGTGGCATCGAAAGGATACCGAGATCGTGCCAGGATACGATCGTGGTTACAGAAGGTAACCGAATTCGCTCGAAGTTACAATCAAAGTGTAAGCGAAAGAATGGAAGCAGAAAATAGCTGTCATTAGCACAGTCAAACAAAAGCACATTAAAACAAACACTGGTACAGTTGGTTGCAATAATAATTGTTTTTATTAAACCAGTCGTGTTCTCGTGATAAACGTGAGTCACTACAGGAGCCCCCCGCTAGAAAGGGTTTACACTTTCGATAAATAGCGGTTTGAATCGTGGGACTGATTGGCTGACGAGCGATTGTAGGACGGAAGAATTGGCGAACAGGAAAGCGATCGTTGATCGTCGAGTTGCCAACGAAAGTCGTTTTCGGAGAACAGTACCAGGAGCGATGTGTTGTATTTATTGCTCGAGTCGGCATGCTACACCAGAGTGGTTTGTATCCAGAATCTGAAGAGGGCGTTCGTAGAGGTGCGCACCAGAAACGCTGCAGACGTAGGACGAAACCACGTTGAGCCGAAAGACCAGAAGCGACCGTTACGACCAAGTTCGTGACCAAGCGTGTGCCAAGCGTTCGAAACCAATATATCGACTGAGTACGTTGACAAGAGCGTGGGTGGCCAATCCAGCTTTCGCCAAAGTTGACTGAAGTCGACGGAACCAAACGGAGATGGTCGAAGGCGTGGGCTCGGGAAAAAAAAGAAAATAAAAAAAAAGAAGAGTGTAGCATACGTGTAGTATAGGAATAATCCTACACCGTATCGGTAGTTGACTGTGCGACTATTCGCGGAAGCGTACGGGTAACCGTACTCGGCGACCGGAACGTGAGACGGCAGTCTCGTTCGCGTCGCGTGAGCCTGCAATCTCATCCGAAGTCAAGGGCGGCGTGGTCTGCTGATCTGGACGTGAGACTGTCGTCTCGTCCGTAGACGGTGCAGATGACGCGTGCTGTTGACTGGGACGTGAGAATGAGGTCTCAGATGTATCTAGCGTGGGACCTGTAGATGATTTGAGGATCCCGCTAGTAGGTTTGCTAGGTCTAGCATTGAATCTCAGGTTGTCAGATAGGGCACTGTCATCGACGTGTGCTGGTTTGAGACGATCAATGCTGACGATCTCGACGCGGCCGTGTCGATCAACCTTGAAGGTCTTTTCGTGACGAGCGATCACGCGAAAAGGGCCTTCGTAAGGTTGTTGCAAAGGTTTGCGTACCGAATCTACTCGTATGAAAACATGTGAACAGGTAGATAACTCTCGAGGGAGAGCGACCTGTCGATGTTGTATTCGAGTTGACACCGGAGGCAGCGTTCGAATTAATGCAGACAGTCGTTGGACGTAGTCTGATTTAGCGAAATTAGGTCTGCTCCGTGGTGTGAAGAATTCTCCGGGCAGACGCAATGTCGTGCCGTATACAAATTCAGTGGCAGAACATTGGATATCTGCCTTTAAGCTCGTTCTCGCCCCTAAAAGAACGAGCGGTATGGTTTCGTGCCAGTTGCCGTTTTCGTGTGCTCGTAGAACACTTTTAAGTTGGCAGTGAAACCGTTCAACTTAACCATTTGGTGCTGGGTGGTAGACGGATATGCTTATGCGTGTACATTCCGTACCAAGCAGCCGGGTCAGCGAGGAGAATCGTTAATAGGGTAACATTTCTCGAATAAAGCGTGGAATTCATCATCACGCGAATAAAAAGTGACAAGGATTCGGTACACATACGTGTGAGTCTATTATATTAATACTATTCTTATCGTTATCCGTCATGTCGCGTATATTATATATTAAAAATATGAAAATATACGACAGACGTGGATAGATAAATCATAGACTCACCGAATTGGCTTCTTTGGAAGATTTGATCAGAAGTTGAGGCGTGTTCTAAACTTTGGGCTCACCAATTGTAGTCGAATTGAAATTACCAATTGTAGCGTGGTGTCGGAGTTGAGATTAACTATGAACACCGCTACCAAGAAACACGTGCCAAATGAATCAGAAGGCGTAAGAAGCTCGTTCCAAATGACTCCATAAAATCCCCGAGAAGCCAAATATCAGAAGACAGTTAATGGACCAAGTCGAGGTTTATTAGCTGGCGATCTCGTGGCATCGAAAGGATACCGAGATCGTGCCAGGATACGATCGTGGTTACAGAAGGTAACCGAATTCGCGCGAAGTTACAATCAAAGTGTAAGCGAAAGAATGGAAGCAGAAAATAGCTGTCATTAGCACAGTCAAACAAAAGCACATTAAAACAAACACTGGTACAGTTGGTTGTAATAATAATTGTTTTTATTAAACCAGTCGTGTTCTCGTGATAAACGTGAGTCACTACAAGTTATTTCATGATAAATATTGGTTTGAGGTGTTTCGAAAAGTATTTATTATCAAAAAAGATTAGGGTCTCACTTTGGCATTAGTTTGTGTATACATCCATCTAGATTGATATACTTATTCTAATGCTGTACATTTGTTATGGTGTAGCGGTCCAATCCATATGATCATACACCGAAGTTCTATCACTTTCTATTCCGAATTCGCCTGTCGTTGGAGTAGAGATACTACTTTTTGAGATCAATTGAAGAATGGACACAATCTTTTCCCCAGAATATGTTTTATATAAATACAAAAATTATGTTTGTGGCGACCAAGCTGAGCTATGCCGTCTCAGTCATTTTTCCTTATTGGCATCTAAAGCATCACCAATTTTTATGCATTCTTATGTATCTTGGGTTCTATCACCTGTGGCAGAAGTGGTTCAAGGTGATGGATAATTTGTGCTAAGAGCTAATTGTTATTGTACAGTCTGTAAAAGCTCGAATATACACTTGTTATGCGTCATACACGTTCGTGGGTGTGAGTAATCATTATGGATGCTGTCTTAAGTAGAAATTGATTGGCTAATTAACGAGCAAGGGTCTGAAAAAATCAAACCTACTTCACTTAAACGTTGTATGGCCTCAGTAAAAAGGATGCGTAATATGGATTCATTGTCTCTTGACGTAGCTTGAGAGCCGATAAGTGACCACAAAGCTTGTACTGTTTATTTCAGATGTCGGTCACTATTGGACTTTGTATCGGCCCCATAGGCTCTATCCTTACTCCGTGTTGCAAACCTGCTGAGAAAGAGATGAGTGGCTATTCACAGGACAGATTTTCAAAGCTTTCTTTATGTGTTTTTAGGTTATACTACCATAGACAGCGTTTGTAATGACTTTTGTCCATGTAAATTAACATGTGACAATATCGCCAGTCAAAATATCTAATTCTATGATGTTATCTCTGTTTTAAACCAATGACTCGTCAACCGGTAGTGACAGCCTTTAATGAACTGCGGATCACTGTCAATTGACAGTACATTAGCTTCTCGCCCAGCGCTGAACGTTGAGTCCATGACACAATATCCGCCTCTACTGAGTGAATAGGAATTCTTAAACATATGTCTTATACACAAACAGAACGGGCTGAATTACACGATGTAACGAAAAATAACAACTAAAAAAATACCAAGTCAAAAGTCTCTGAGTGCATAAGAGACTGCAATTAGGAGTAGTAAGTGTTATATTAGTGGGTAATAAAACAAATGAAAACTTATAATAAAGGGAATACAAATGTATCTAGCCTAGTTATTTAATGATTGCACAATAAGGATATATGTGCTAGAGTTCTAAAAATGTCACTGATATTCATAATCTGATAGAGCCTTAAACAGTAATGCTTTCATAATCGACGTATATCAACTCAGTCAAATCATAAGTCAAGAATGAAGAAGTTCGAAGATATATATATGTATGTGGAAGGAACGTTTGGTCTAAGAGTAACCGAGCGCATTCGGCTAGATTAGTCCAATCAAACTAATGCAGCCAGCATCAAATGACGAAGACTTACAAAGCTATTGATTTTGAGAATTTATTTACCATTATAGGTCTAAAAATATTTTCGATAAACAACCATTCGTTTAGTCTTCTTCGGAAACGTCAATGTCTTCTTGGTAATGAATTTCTCCTAAGAATTGTGTGAACCTATCGGTAACGCTCTTCCTTTGAACCTAAATATTCTTCTTGCAGATTCATTTCTCATTGATCGGAATTGGATATTCGTGAACGAACTAGTGTTTTGGGATAATTTATGTTTCAGGCTCCTGAGTTCGATTCAAGATCATGTTAGTCATCAGCATTAAGTACTTTTCTATGAGAGTTATATTTCCTCACCCAAAATAATGTGTGATGATGTTCCATATTGGCACTGGTGATAACGAGGCACAATATTTAAGGCTAGTTATCCATATACCTTACAAGTGTGAGATGTGCACTTTCAAAATATTGCTAGCCAGTTCATGAATTAAGGGAATCGTTAATATATTATATAACCAAAAGTATGAAGTGACAAAGGAGACTTTATTTTGTCGTTTAAAAGTTCACCTCCGTATTATCGTTGGGATGAAATATGAACCCGAAACCCGCAGAATATGCTCTACCCATATGACGACTGACTAAATTTATTCATTTGTAGTAGACTTGTGTCCAGCTTTGAAGATTGTGTGGTTATGATTCAATGCCACTACACATTTGAAAGCAAACTATGATTTATGTCTGCACTAGTCAGGACTAGATTCTAAATTGTCCTCGCAAAAGGCTGGAATACGAGAAGGTACAGGTCAATGAAATCGAGCTATATGAAGGAGAAATTGCATCCGACCGATTAGGAAGTGGAGAGGAGTAAGAGGTTAGCGGAATTAGGTTTTATGTAGTCCAATTGAATACTGAGTGCGTTTGCCAGTGACAGAAAATATGTGTGTGCTAATGTGAATCATGGTCAGTTAATTGTTGTGGAGGTGTGCTTGCAATTTAAGCGAATCATTATGTGTTTTAGTCGTTTGTTCGAGATTATAGTAGTACTATTATGTATAGCTAGTTTTCTGAGTGTGCATGATTACGTCTCAAGAAAAAGGAAAGCGGAAAATGGCAAGTTCCGCGGTTGGAACAGTGCCGTCCTTATAGAGAACGAAATACAGTGTATTTAACTATCCATGAGTGCCAAACCAGAACTGGTGAACGAACAATAGCACAGGAACCTGTTCATTTTACAGTGACATGAAATTCATTCACAGAAGAGTTCATTAGCGTATCGATACTAGAACCTTTAATCAATTGTTGGGAATAATAAATGTTTCTAACAAACGGTACTCGTAACTCGATTCAAGTGCGGAATGATTTAAACCATTCAATCCAAACAAGTAGAATCAAAAAGAGGTGAGTCAGTAAAGTACCTAAAAACACTACAGGTGAGGGTAAATAAGATCTCTGTGAACAAGGAAAAGCAGAATTAGAAGCAATGATAGCACGAGGGTTTTTTTTACTTAGAAAGAGACTGCAAGTAGATTCAACTTCTGTTCATGTATTTATCACCCAATCGATATATTAGGGTTACCCATTCTTTCTGTGAATAAAATATCTTATCACGATGATCCCACATTGACTCTAAATCCTTTTCTGGTTATGTTGAATGATTTTTAGTTTTCACTAATATGAACGTTTATTGTTTAGTCCAAGAAGCGGTCATATTTAGTTAGATCTTTTGGCTTGTAGCGACTCACGTGCAAATAAGTTTAGTCTCATCTAACGCAGTTAAGCCCTTTTGCTAACTCATTTAGCGGACAAAGTCATCCGCACTATAACAGCTTGTTGTACCCTTATTATTTTGTGATTGTATGAAATACGTATATGCTTGAATATTGCTTACGGCCTACGCATTTATTCACTCTGCTAGTCTTACTACTAAGTGATTATTTGATTCGATTACTCATTCATTTCACATGCTATATATATGTCCATGTTATTCATACTCACTCACTCACACACTCTCGTCTCGTTCTTGCTATGGCTAACGCTCGCTTGCTTGCCTTTCGGCACAACTCTTCTATGTTTGTTTAACGCATCTGTACATTTGGATATACGTGTGTGGTCTCGTAATAAACGTAATCAACACTTCATATTTGCCTTCTGATTAATATACCGTTGGGACGTTATATAAAACGGTTATCAAGACGAACTGTATACGAAGTTTAAGGATTATATCGAATACCGACCACCACAGGCTCTTTTTTAGTCTATGTATTTATGGTGCTTGTATGAACTAATGATTCCTTTGTACATGGTGTTTGGCTGATTTCGGATTCTAAATATAATACGTTCCGTTGCGCTAATCTATTTCTGTTTGGTTTAAATTGCGCTATTCTGGGGATTCTCAGTTCGTATAATAATTCAAATACTTCTGACCATCACAGTATTGCTCATTCCAAAATTTAATTGCCAGTTCGTTAGTTGATGCCTAAATATTTTAGCAGAATATACTTCTTTAACGTCAGTATAATCATATTATTGTTCGGACATGTTTCATTATCATTGTTATATTAACGAATGAATGCAGTTACAATATCCATTAATAAGTGAATGAGTTTATTGGTATGATAATTAATAAATTTCATATCTTGTATAATTTTGGTTTAATTTACTACTTTTTAAATTCATTTTAATAAAGTTCAAATTTGTTTGCTAAGATCTTTCTCCCCTTGGCGTTACTGTATTTACAAATACAAAGCTCCTATGTAATCTTATACCAATTGTCTATACATTAGTTTTATGTTTTTGGACAATTCATGTGAATATAAGGATTGCCAGCTAAATTATTAGCGATATATCATTGTATGTTTGAGTAGTATTTTACTGCCACAATTGTTTATTTTCATTGTTGGCCTCTGAAAATATTTAAAATTTGCTTTTTCAAGTAATATTTAAGTAGCTTTGTTTAGAGAATCTATAGGTGATAAGCTCATTTCACAGCAACATTATTCCTTAACAACATATCCTATTAAAACATGTGAATAATTGAGGATCATTGCTATCAATAAACAATTAACTGAGAAAAGAATAACGATGTATTATTTCATGATTTGAAGTAATGAAAGGTCAGGATACGTAACATTTCAGCAACGTTCCTGAATGTTGTTCATTACTGGGACAATCTTAGAATATACCTCATAGCAAGTGATTCGAATATATCACAAATGAGCCCGAAGGAAAAACTTTTACTAAGTCGACAGACTAGTTATTCAAACTGAAACATAAACGAAATTTGAACCAATGAACTGTATATTTAGACCAATAACCGAAACTTTGAAAAGCTAACACGGAAGAACCGAACACTTTAGTTTTTCAGACGAATCCCATTGAAAGTTGACTGAAGATTTGTGGTCGGTAAATTAATTAGTTACATGTAAGTACTTTTACGAATAGTGTTAAAATCAACAATGTGTGGCAAAATAACACATGAAGATGATGTCTAAATTTGGAAGGGAATTCGAGTTTTCGTTATAAATAGGATTTCTTGTGGTCGGTTTTATGTCACACCTACATGGAGACAGGCCAGATTTCGACAATACTTTCATACTGTTTTACTTGTAGCAATGTGACTTATTCTAAATCTGGACAGACGAACTAATTTAATGTTCTTATATCATTATATACACACATTCACCCTTATCAGTTATTCACACATAACAAATAACTCATGAAGAGGATGTTTAAATTTAGAAGGGAATTCGAGTTTTTGTTATAAATAAAGTTTTCTTGTGATCAGTTTCATATCCCACTTATCACTGTTATCAATAAACAATTAACTGAACAAAGGATAACGATGTTTTATTTTCATTTATATATATATATATCATTCATAAAATGTATCCTAATTACATTTCTAGATACATGTGAACACAAACAATTACATTTTTTTAATTGAATCAAACAAACTGAACTCTGTGTGTGTGTGTGTGTGTGTGTAAGGGAGTTGGACAGATAGAGATAAAGAGAGAGAGAGAGAGAGAGAGAGAAAGTAATCAATTCACCTTAATGTATATAATTTTGTCCATAATTCAGCTAAGCATACAGTTGAATGAAAACGAAAAAATATAATTAATGGTATAAAACAATAGGTTATAACAGACCATGTACGTACACCAAAATATTGTCTATATAATGGTAATTGTGTTTCAGCACTTCTTACTTCAAATGTATTAATTAACCATAATGCTAAATTACATATTAATAAAAAGACAATAATTGAACGTCCTGGTTTTATTCTTGATTGATTTATACAACATACTTTACGTCTTGATGTTTCAACAATAAAAAAAAATTGTATTAATGCTTGACATATTTCTAATGTACATTTAATAATATATAATATAGCTGTATATTTTATATGATCATTTGTTAAATATAAAATATAATAATCTTTAATATCATCATTTGAATGAATGATCATTATATGAATGATTGTTTCTAAGGCTGGTATAAATAAGAACATATGATATATAATACAACCAATTAAACCAATAGTTAATAAATTATATTCAAAATTTTCACCATGTTTTAAACGATGAAATTTTAATTGATTCGTTTGTTTTATTGCTATAATACATGCTAATAAACTAATTGTTGATAAAGTTAATTTAGATTTTTGATAAATATATGCAGCAAATTGTTTATAACCATTACGTCCACGTATTATAAATAATACCATACATACAATACTACCTATTAATAACATTATACCTAAAAATAAACCAGTATGTGAACGATGACATTGATGTTCTGTATTGAATTTTAATGATTTTTCATAGTCATTATCATTATTATTATTATCATCAGATATTTCTTTATTGTCTTCAACTGATTAAAAAAATATATTGGATTGTAATATTCATAAATAGTTCAATTGTGAAGTAAATAGGAATAAAAGTTGATTAAAACAAAAAAATAATAAATAAGTGAGATATATTGATTAAAGTAAGGACTTTATATCATAAAATATCATAAAGTTAAGTAACAAACTTACGTTATCTAAAAGAGAACAGAGTTTAATGAACGATAGGGCTTTCTTTGTTGTTGTTGTTGTTGAGTTTGAGAAATCTTAGCAATATGTGTTAACATGATCGAACCGAAGCTTTTCAGGTCTTATGATGATTGTAATTAATTGGAGTCACTTATAACTCAGTGATTCAAATTTGAGAGGAGTTTTGTGGAGATTTTACTAATTTCAATAGTTGATATCATAAGTTAATTGAAGCTAAACTACCATAGAAAACCTGCAAGCATTGGACGGATGTTTCATCCTAGTATGAGACTCTTCAGCAATAAGCATCTACGATCCCGTCCCCCGCGAGATTCGAACTCAAGACCTATCAGTCTCGTGTGCGAACTCTTAACCTCTAGACCAGTGAATTGGTCGGCATCCAACGGTGTTAATGTCTAACTTAAATAAATCCACGAAATTGCGTCACAATCAATGATTGTCTTAAGTGAGTTTCTGTCTCACAACAGACCTGGTTGAACTCAAATTTGATTTAAATTTCTTAATATTGTGAACAGTGATATCTGTCTCAATTATAATACGGTCAATAAATGTAGATTAATTATTCTGCGTACAATATGAAAGTATTTTAAGCATTAAATTGAACTATCTATTATATTTTTTCAATAAATCTGTTGAACATAACATATAAAGACAGTTTTTATGATTTTTTTAAAATCAAGATAAAAAAAGAAGTTCCCTTTTTAAACGTAAGTACTGACTAGCCTGAATTGTCGGTGAACTGCAATATTGATGATTGGAATATGCTGAAAAGGTTCAGTGTATTGCAATAATGATTTCTGATTAATGTTGACTGGAATGAGACCCATTATTAAAGCTACTTATTACTTCAAACCAAATCAAATCGAAACTACCTGAAATTAGCTGTTATACGGTACTTGTATTTTGGTTCATTGATAAAACTCAGCTTCTTACACTTGGCTTTGAGCCACACTTCATGTATGAGGGTTAGTGATACCTATCCTGTTGTCCAAATCAAATTAAGAGAGATTGAACTTAAATCTGGACCTGGTATTTGAAACTCAAACGCCTTGATCATTAAGCTTCTGCACTAACATCTACACATATGAAATACAAGTTACGGTAGATATTTCTCATGTAAAACTCACTCTTGTTATTTATAGTAATGTTATTTGATACGGAGTTAACAATTAAAATTCAGAAAGTTGATGTATTCCTAACTTGGTGTCACAGCTAGATGAGTATGTCATCTCCTTCCTTACTGTGTTAGTGTCTGATCACATTGAAACTAAATACTCATTATTTATTAATTCAATTATTAGAGTTTTGTATACTGGATTATTGACTTGCATCAGTTATGTAATGTTTATTAGATGTTAGTAATTATTCAAGTCTGTAATTGCGATATCCAAAATGGATTGCATTTATTACTCCATTGATATTAAGAGTATCCACAATGGTAATAATAATAATAACAATAATAATAATAATTGAACCCCTTCAAAGAGTCAATGTTTTGAAATAAGCTGATTAATTTAGCGGCTAGACTATAATTTATGGACAAACAAATCAGATTTACGATAACAAGTTTCGAATTTTGGCGCAAAATTAATTCAACTATTTGCCTAAAAAGAGTTTTGGCATTATAGCTGATGTCAGTTCGTGATGAAAATCTAAAATCTAACTCCCAACCTTAACTATCAACTGTAAATATTAGTCTCAATTCCTCACACTGGCTAACAACCTTGATTTGGCCGTAGCAGGTACGTGGACATTCTCAAATACTTTTTTGTGTCGCTCAATGGTCTTCCATAAATTACAGTCTCACCAATTTAGCTTAAAGAATCAACAAAGGAAAATTTCGAATCCCATGGATAAACTTAATCAAACAGCTTTCTGTTGAATTGAAGTTAGACCACCATTGAAAACCTGCAAGCATTGGACGGATGTTTCATCTTAGTATGAGACTCTTCAGCAGTGTGCATCCACGATCCCGCTCCCCGCGTTTTCCCCCAGGTTTCCATGGTGGTCTAGTTTCAATTGACTCATTATTTTAACTATAGAAATTACTCAAATCTCCACAAAATCCCTTCTAATACTAATCATTTGCTCATTAGTAACTGACTTCAGTTGGCATATCCTGGAGTTCTAGTGAGAAGCCATGACCAGTGGAATTCAACCGGGTCTGTTGTGAGATGGTAACTCAATGGTGTACGGTGTCGCAATTTCGTGGATTAGCTGAAGTTAGACATTAGCACCGTTTGACGCCTACCGGCTCAGTGATCTAATGGTTAAGCGCTCGCACGCAAGACTGATAGGTCCTTGGTTCAAATCTCGTGGGGGGTGGGAGCATGGATGCGCACTGCTGAGGAGTACCATACTAGGATGAAACGACTGTCTAGTGCTTCCAGGTTTTCCATGGCGATCTAGCTTCAACTGACTCATGATTTCAACTACTGAAATATTTTAGTTAGTAAAATTTCAAATTTTACGGCTCCTTTTTAATTTTTACTCAGGTTTTTATTTATGCCACAACAAAATTCCAAATCTACATTATTTTCATGTATAATTAGATGTTAATTTATATGTTGTGAAAATTCATTTCAGTCAAATGCCGATTCCAAGGCAGCTTGCCCGAATATCTGGGCCACCTGTTCTTGGCATCTAGATATTTCAACAAGTTATCTGTTTTCTTGTTTGTGTTAACAGGTCATTATGAAATCCAAAACCATCATGTCTTAGGCTCATAATACTAGTAAATTGAAATTCGAGTGGTAGATAAGGACGGCTAAGTACATATTAGGAGCTTTGTTGTCAGTCCATTAAATACATAGATTACTGTTATTTGTGTTTATAGATGCAGTAAAAACCTTTTGGAGAAAAAAAAAAGTTACTTACCTATAGGTGCTGTGTAATTTTCACTTAATATTGGTAATTTATTCTTTTTCAATAATGGAAGAAATACTTTACATCCCATTACTGGTCTATATGACATGTGTTTTGTACATTCTGGATGATATTGTTGTTGTTGTTGTTGTTGTTCTGAGATATCATCATCAAAGAATTTATCAAATTCACTTTTATTTATACTATTAGAGATTGATGTTGGTGATGGACTAAATAAACTTGATGAATTCAATGCAAGACAATCACTACCATTTGATGTACGATTAAATGATTTTGGAAATGTTTGATCTAAACGTTGTAACATTTTATAAAAGAATGATCCAGTTATTAAACTATATTCAATAGCTAATGGAAATAAAAATGGATCAAGTGTTACACCCAAATAACCAAGGCATAGTTTAGAGATATTACTATTGTTATGTTGATTTATTGTTCCGGCCAATGTATCACTTTTAGTATAGTGACCTAAATGTATAATATATTGCAAAAAAAGAAAAGATATAAAACGTCATTTAGCTTATTTTTAAAATCATTGAAAAGTGAGAAAAATAGGAAATCAGGCTATTTTGTACGTAATTGATCTCTCCCTCATAAGACTAAAGCAAGAAAACGTGTCGATTACCGAAGAATAAGACATTTAACACTATATGTTCCTCTGGATTGTTGAATTTAGTAACAGTGTCACCAAAAAAAAGTAACCCATATCAAATGGTTTCTTACTTCTCCCTACAACGTGACAGTAAATATAAAACACAATATAGCAATTAATACTCTAATCTATGTGATTTGTTATAACTATTGAACAAACAACATTCTATTTACATGTAACCTTGGTCATGTTTTACAAAATGTACAATTTTTAGTACGTATATATCTATCCACTTTCTGTTACTTTGTAATTCTCGGAGTCATACTACCGAACTCCAAGCCTTTATAAGATGACTGAATCTTTTACCTGAAATGTACATATCCTAAATACAATTTGTATTTGAATTTTATTATTTTACATTATATCAATGTGATGTGTTAGCAGAAAGTATACTGATAGAACAGGATCTATATTGCATTGACAACATTGTTGTTCAATCTTACTGGAGTTGGATAACGAATGGATTAAAAAGAGAAATATTAAAATTGTTGGTTCATTATTCAATTTGTAGTTTTACCGATAAATACTAATAGTAATGACATCTATGACCAATATACAGAAATACAAATGGTTATTAACAACTTAATTGTACAGTCTTTGATCACAGTTCAACTCTTATGAACTCAGTTACCGAGTATAGATTTGTGCACAAAAATTTTGGGTTACAATTTAAGTTTAAAGGCTAACGATACAATCCGGTTTCTCAAAACAAGGTAGGTGGCACGGGATTTGCGATTGAGACTTAATGGCTAAGAGACGAGGGCTTTGAACACACCTCTCTAATGTTTCGAGTTTTTATTGATCTAACAGTTAGATCCTCCTAGTAAGCGAACAACAGACCATAGATATTACCTTCAATCAATCATTAAAAATTTGGTCATTAACATTGTTTAATAGTTCTTTTTATTGATTTTAATCAAATGTATTAATATAATATACTTACTATTTTGAGTATAATTTCCATTGTAAGGATTCAATGAAATATCAGTCTGAAATAAAAATGCAGTATTAAAGTACCATACTCAATTAGGAATCCACTGAGAATTAAAAAAATCAATAAACAGCTTTTCCCATGCCCAGTATTGAACTCCAGGCAGTAAACACTTATAACTTCACTAGGGAATGAATACTAAGCTGTTAAGTCCTATAGTGAAAGCTAAACAGGTACAACCACTATGTTGACTTCATATGGTAAATATCTTTAAAATTAATCAGTCCGCGATAAAGCAGGATGATCAAAAGTATTTGTGAAAAGATTTTATAAAGTAGAAGGTAGGTAAGTAAAACCATAAGTATACAAGCGTATATTCAATAATTACCTTAGCTAACTGATTCAATACAAAACTGATGCAAATGAATTGGATTCCTTATTAACATAAAGAATAACTTTCCTGCTGTTATTATACCTATATTAAAGGAACATGGGATTTAAGTATTATTGTATAGCTAATGAAACTATTAATGTAGCAGTTCAGCTCATTTAAGCTGGGGAATATCTGTTTCTTGGGTTTATTTCATTGTACAACAGTTGAAAAAGGTATAACATATTATATATAGCGGTAATAATTGTTTGTACATGAACATCGAATTCAAGGGTGATAGAGCCAAACACACCCTAAAGAGGAGAATTTCCTATTCTTTAAGAGCTGAACTAATCTTTCTTAATTAGTGTCGTAGTGGGTGTATTCCGTTTATTAAAATAATTTTTATATCCGGATGAGAACAAATGAATAGTAACCGTTAGGAATTACTTAAGGACTAACATTATACGTATATTCTTATTGCATGACTATTAAGTGACTATATTAAATCCATATTCCTTTCATTATAAGCTTTTATTTGATTTATTGACTATTATCGTATGATTTACTATTCTTGAGATATTCATATTTTGGAGGTTGAGATTGGCGTTCTGGACTTACCAGGCAGGGCAAGGCGGCAAAAGACCTACTGGAATTCTAGGCTCCTCGTATTGGTGTATGCGTCATTAGTTTCGTGGTATAAGTTAGCGTATCTAAATTGGCAATTATATTTCGTGATAATCGTATAGCTAAGGACATCACAATGATGAATATCGAGATTTTATTAATATTTCAGCATACTTCAGACTGAATCAATTAGTATGACTAGCAAGTAAGTGTGTATGAATCTTTAAAAGTATATAAGTTCAACAATTCTGAATTGATCTTCGTTAATAGCATCTATGCACAAAATTGAATTATGTACTTTAAAGAAAGTAATATAGACACGTTTTAATCATAGAAAACATGTTATTTTATGAGAATAATTTCAGCATTATATTCGTCTTTTAGGACAAGTTGAACCATCTTACAGGTACTATGCAAATATTGATGCTTTAAACAGTATTTCAAATATTGAAAAAGAAATACATTCAGTGATAACATAATCTGTTCAGTTAATTTGATGATTTATATCATGAAAGGATCAGTGTTAGACCATCATTGAAAGCCTGGAAGCACTAGACGGCTGTTTCGTCCTAGTGTTAGACATTAACACCGTTGGATGATCTAGAGGTTAAGTGTTCGCGAGCGATACCAAAATTCCTGGGTTGGAATCCCGCGTGAGGGATCGTGAATGAGTACTGCTGAAGAGTCCCATACTGGGACGAAATGACAATCCAGTGCATCCAGGTTTTCAATGGTGATCTAACATTGATCCATTCATGATATCAATCTAAACTCAACAATCTCCACAATCCTATACTGATAATTTGATAATATTACATAGTCTAATACGGATGTTGATGATTAACAGACTTACCATATTATGCTTTTCAATGACAAGATTTGAAATATGATGTGAATGAACTGTTGATGAATGAGAAACTGGTGTTTTTAAACTTAACGCCACTTCACTAACTACAACTTTAAGCCAATGACAAAAATTTATTGTAGCCAAATGTATACAAGACAAACGTACTGTTACTCGATGACGGTGTAATATAACCTAGAAAAAAATTAAAATACCATGATTAAAAGAAGACAAAATATCATTTTTAGCTAGTTCTATATTGTTATATCATCATATATATATAAATAGAAGTTTTACAATTTAAGTTAGAAATCATAAGTCAACTGAAGCTAAACCACCGTAGAAAACCTGGAAGCACTGGACGGCCGTTTTGTCCTATTATAGGACTCTGCAGCAGTGCGCATCTACGACCCCGCCTCGCAGGCTTCGAACCCAAGACCCATCAGTCTCGTGCGCGAGCGCTTAACCACTAGAATCGACTGATCTAGACTGGCTAGCGATTGCAAGGGATGTTGAGCAAGGCATTCCCACTCGTGATCTGGTGCGGATGCATGACCTAGTGCCTTCAGTCAGGTGAGTCCATTAAAACGAATGTGATCAACATCCAATGTCGAAGACTTACAGAGCTATTTATTTTGGGGATTTATTTACCGCTACACAGTCATGTAATATCTGCTTTATACTTTGTACTGTAGTTAATTCTTATTTAAGTATACATAGTACAAACTTTTCTAGTGACTATATTTCAATAGCCTAGTTGATTCATAAAAAAGCTTATGATTACAGATTTGTAAATAATCAGTGGGTACTTTTACTTTGTACTGTACTATGGTTAGTTGAGTTATAATTTTTCCTATGAATCGAATAATACTATTTTGTTCGTTATTGAAAATCCTGTTGGTAAACAGAAACTTGCTGTTTGCCGAAAATTTTAGAACTCCTTTGAAGAATTGTCAAAATGTGAAGCTGAATTCATAAAACTATTCAGCTAGGTAAAGTTTTTATTTACCTGTGTTTTGGTTGTAGTGTATAACAATGAAATTACAAAAACATTAACTTACTCTATGATATTTGAACACAAAATATGTTTGCCAAAGTACCCAAACTATTCTTATTATATGTTTTGGTATCCAAAGTTTACTGTGACATACTGAATCACTGACTTCCCATACTGAAGACAAATTGAAACCATCATGAATCATTACTCCTAAACCGAAACCTAATAAAAGTAATGCGGATACTTTTCAATAAAAAACAAACTACTGATAATGGATTAAGTAACTTAAATGTACGCTACAAAAATGAAAAATCATTAAATTCACCTCATTGCACAAGCTATCAGGACTCGGTAGCTGAGTAGGCAACAAAATGGCATTTGAAGGAGACGGCGTCGGGTTCGAGTCCCAGAGTGAGCACTAACTCAGGTGCAGGTACATCCAACTGAAGATTCCAAGACAGCTCGAGGCGCGCGTCCTGGATTCCAGCATTACCTACCATTCACCTTCGCTTGTAAAATTGTTACACAGGGGATTTTTTACCATTATCCGGTTAGTTTATTAATAGATAGATTATTTCATAAGTAATTAAATTTTGAAAAAAATGTATTGACAGTATACTACTGAAGTGAATAATAACGTTAATAATTATTTCGATCAGGTATAAATTAAAACGAATAGTAGATTCTAAGTGTTAATAAAAAAATACAGAACTGTGTGTTTCAAGGAAGTAGCTAGTGTGGAAAGGCAAGGGTTAATATTCCTGTTACATAAGAGCATCAGTATTTATTGTTCATTCTCTTAAGTGAATGACTAGTTGAGAGTGGTGATTTCATTTGCATCCCTTAACGAATCCCGGATCAATAGTCTAGAGGTCGAGTGTTCGCGCTAGACTGAAGGTCCTGCGTTCGGGTACCATGTTAGTGATTGTGAGTGACCGCTGCTGAGGAGTCCCATGCTAGGGCGAAACGGCCGTTAAATGCTTCAAGGTGTTCAATAATAGTCTAACATTTATCAGTTCATGATTTCAATCAAAAGCTTAACAGTTACCAGAAACCCATACTAATGATGATATTATTGAATAATTGATATATTGATTTGTAGATTCCAATGGAAAGCATTAAATTTCTAGTATGATTTCTTTTAATTATTATTGATATTTCATAAAATGTTATGAATAATTAAACATTTCAGTAATCCATAGTTGTAATAAAGTTTCGTGTTTGAAGTAGTCAATACTGTCCATTATTCTTGCATTTGCTTGGAGACCAAGATACTTCCAAAACATAGTTACAAAGTAACCTCATATTGAACAGATAAACAAATTTCATTTATTTAACTAAACCAGATTTGTATACGTTTATATAAATTTATGGACTTGAAAGTAAATATCAAATATGTCATTTTAATTAGAATTCAGGTCAATTCTCCCAAATTCTAAAGAAAAAATCAGATACAAAGTATAATTTCTGATTTATATTGTGATTCCATAAAAAAAATTAGTGAATGCTAGTTTAGGGGATCTATTGGAAACCCGGAAGCACTGAACGGACGTTTTATCTTACTATGGAATTTCTCAGCAGTTCACATCCACCACTTCATATCCGGGAGTAGAATTCAGGACATTCGGTCTTGCGAGCAAATTCTTAACCTCTAGATCACTAAGTTCAGTGTGTTTGAGGTATGAGATATTTATCCTCCTCAGGCAATGAATGAGAGTTATGCAATATAGTGAATTGATTAAAGTTAGACATTGAAAGCCGGTTCAGCGGTCTAGAAGTTGAATGTTCTCATATGTGAATGTAGGTTCTGAGTTCGGTTTCCGGATGATAATATGGTTCCAGGCGAGAGAATGAGTTAGCTGGATAAAAAGCGTAAGATAGTCTTCAAAGATAGGATGTATATTGACTATCGCAACTGGTTCTGAGTCAAATCATTTTATGTTAACATCCATTTATTAGCCATTGCCATTACAAGGTAATCTGTACCCACTTACTTAACTGTATTAATTGGTCAATGACTTCATGTTGTAATATTATATCTTGGTTTGGTTAATAAATCTAGATAAACAACATTCAGACATCCTATTCACATACCCTAACAGTTTCTTATTGTTATAATTTGCAGATTTTGAAATCAATATAAGTTGATTTAACAAAATTTCAAAACAAAACCTTACCAAATTGTATGATCAAACCAAATAGATACCCTGAATATTTAACTGGATCAATGTTAATGTTTACAAATTTGAAGGAGAATTGACAACAAATTCTATAATTGTTATTACGCTTACCAACTGCTCCAAGTCGCATATATAAATTCATTCCTTCCGGATGTATTGATATATAAGGTTTCTCTTGATTATTTTTATTATCATTGTAAAGATGAATTAATCGTGTCAGTTGTCGTTCACTTGTTGTTGATTCAATATCAGATGGTTTATCAATTGGACTAACTGGTGAGGAATTATTTGTATAATCTGATTTTATCAACTAAAAAAAGTGATATAAAAGTATGTGTGAGGAAGAAGGAGAAAACTACTCTCTCTCTCTCTCTCTCTCTCTCTCTCTATATATATATATATATATATATATATATATATATATATATATATATGCTAGTCACTATCCATCTTCGATAACATACACTTTATTACACATATGCTAGTGTAAAACCATAATAATAAAATTTTTCCGGATGTAAAAAGGCTTTTCATTAATTTAAATTATTTATATTCTTTGCTTTAATGTTTTGTTAGTTAATCAGAATCAGAAATCGTCTATACTGAATATCTGAATGACTTGCAAAGTTGCGTTTTTTAATTGATTAAAACATCTAATTATTAAACTTTATGATACTTTTTAAATGTACATGGTATTGTATACATATCTATCCAGTCCTTAGTGCTGATCGGATCTTGTCAAATAAATTTCAGTGTGGCCATTAAATTAAGTGACTTGATATTGCCCAGACTATCTTATTGGTATTAGTCTGTTACATGTATTTATCATAAAACCTTGAACCTAGGTTTTGTGATGGTTGACATTCATTCTAGAAGGCGAAACTGCAATGTTGGGGCAACTGATACACTCTGATATATTCATACTTCCATAACCCATATATTCAGGGTCTAAAACGTTACCACAAAGTTAGTCGGAACCTAATTGATCTTCAGGAGTGGGACATTTAGGTTGGTCGATAACTTTTATGTATGGGTTGTGATCAAATGCCCTGGTACGGCCGAGAGTGGGGAGAGTCAGCTCTCCCTCTAGAAATTCTCTTACATGGCCACGTCAATACAGCCACTGCCAGGGAAAGTCTGCTCATTGCCCCCCCCCCGAGGCATTACTGTTGCTTACGAAATTGAGACGACGAAAGGTGAATGTTCGGCGCTTTAGCCGGGTTGATGGACGTGGAGAGTTCACCTATGAGAGTTGGAAAACCCTGATTCCAAATCAATAGTGCACATGGGCTCCAGAATTCTAAGAAAACAAATGGCGTATATACCTATTGTTGGTCACGGGCTACCATTGGACTGCATCTCTTAACGTTGCTCTACTGCTTTGTGGATCAGACCTTTATGTCGAAGGCTCGGGGTGTGGCGCCCTAAGAAAACCATTTGCTTCGGTTTGGGCACCCGAACAGTATCATAGCCCGTACACAAATCAAGTGACTTGTGTGGCACATATCCGTTTGGTGTCACTTTGTACCAATATTTATGTATTTAAATAAAATGTGATCGACAAATCAATTGTATACAAACATTGAATTTATTAATTCTTTGTGTTAAATCATAAATTTATTAAAGAAAATCCAAATTAATACTGAATGAATGGAAAAAGATAAGGAAGATAATTCATCGAAATGTAGTATTAGAATTCAATTACAATTTATTCACTAAAAAAAATCATAGATGATTGGCAAACAGTGTCCACATGAAGTATGTAGAGGTAATTAATGCTTCATTTAGGCTAAACAGACATCATCCTCTATTGCGAAACATTTGATTGAAACTAGTCATAAGGTTGACATCAAATCACCATTTATAGTGTTATAAAAAAGCCTACAAGGACGTATACTAAGGTTTATTGAAGCCTTGGTCATACGGAAACTGAAACCTTCTTTTATGCGTTCACGAACAATTTGTTCTTACTCTTAACCTACCCTTGTAATACTGATTTATTATTCAATGTGTTTATCACATTATTTCTGTGTATTTTATTTGCCTTTGTTACAGCTCACCTTTAACCTGTCTCTTTGAACTTTTAGTTTCCATATAAAAGTGTCTTAACAAATATATGGGTGATCAGATTGTTCGAAATGTATCTTGCCAATATATAACATAATGCTGATAACCTTCATCTGCTCATTGCATTAACGAAATTTATCAGAGGGACTAAGTGTTTTAAAGTTGTAAATTTGTTTAAGTTATGAAGTAATGTTGTAGTTAACTAATGTTGAGAAACAAACTTTTAATAAGCAAAAATGGATAATGACTAGCAGTGTAGTCCAGGATGCGCGTTTCGTCCTATTTGGCACTCGTCAGCTGGATGTACTAGCATCTCAGAGTTGATGCTCACTCTGGGACTCGAACTCAGTACCATTCGCTACAAACGCCATCACATTATCCACTCAGCTATATCAAGGCAATATGCACAGTATGCACATATGCCAATAACAGACTGATCAAGTAAAGATTTAAATACAAAAGGTTCGATACCGTGTAATATAATATTGTGAGTGAAATAACTATCTAATACTCATTTTACTCTTTTGTTGATGTAAGATGGTAACACTTCATTAAAATAGTTCGAAACCACCACCACCAATAATAAAACATAGTGATCAAAAATGTACATTATAATCATTAACTCAACTTACTATATTTGGTTCACTTAATTCATGATGTTCATTAATTACTATAATATAAATGAAAGAAAATGTTATTAAATGTACCAAATGTACCAAAATTATTATTTTTTTAAATACACAACTGAATCATAAGCTCACTAGTGATGGTCTCCAAGAGGTATTTTGTTATAACTTGTCAATTGAATGCTGATTGTCTTGGCTCTTTTTTTATCCCGTTGCCACTGATATGTTTTTTCAATTTTTTTCCAAAATCCCTATCATCACTAATATGTCTTATCGTTTAATGTTTCTTGTTATATCACTTATCACTTATATCAGAAGGGGTTTGTGGAGATTTTAGAAATTTTCACAGATTTAAATCATGAGTCAGTTGAAGCTAGACCACCATTGAAAACCTGGAAGCACTGGACGGCCGTTTCGTCCTAGTATGGGACGAAACGGCCGTCCAGTGCTTCCAGGTTTTCAATGGTGGTCTAGCTTCAACTGACTCATGATTTAAATCTGTGAAAATTATCACTTATACTCGAAATGAGGGACCACCGAAATTCCAACGACGCGAAAGTAAGAATACAAAGACTGGTATAAGTGAAGATTTATTGACCCCAAAACACTATGATGATGACGACGACAACTCTAGTAGAAAATACACTCATTTATATATTGATTGTACACCCATTTTGATTAATAATTAGGATTAAATAGAGCAAGAACAAAGATTGGTGCAGAATAATATGAATTCATTTTATTTCGTTAGGTTCTCATCAGCTGCACCAATCTTTGTTCTTGCTCTATTTAAGATAATAAAGGGAACTATGTGTATGAAATTAGGATTAAATCACATATATAACAAATCACATACCGAGCATAGTTCATGTCAATGGAATACAAGAATATCGTATATTATACAGAAGAAAATATCATACAAGAAGACAAAACAACTACTACACTGAATGATCATCACATTGAATCAAAACAGAAGTAATCTAGAACAAAACTCATAATGAGCAAATCAATCAAATTTTGATTTTTTTTCTTCCACTCATATCATATTTCCTAGAGTTTTAGTGAAAAGCAATGACCAGTGGAGTTCAACCGGGTTTGTTGTGAGATAGTAACTCACTAAACACAATCATGGGCGGTGGTGCAATTTCGTGGATTGGTTGAAGTTAGACATTAACACCGTTGGATGCCGACCGGCTCAGTGGTCTAGAGCTTAAGTGTTCGCGCGCGAGACTAATAGGTCTTGGGTTCGAATCTCGCGGGGGGTAGGATCGTAAATGCGCACTGCTGAGGAGTCCCTTACTAGGATGAAAAGGCCGTCTGGTGCTTCCAGGTTCTCAATGCTGGTCTAGTTTCAATCGACTCATGAATTAAGCTATTAACTGAGTGTAAGTTCTCAGTAATTGTGAGGGTGATAATAATAATACTTATAGATAACTTATTAATGACTTAATCAGATCTGTTTTTCGATTGACTATATCAAATATTTTTGCTTTTTCCTCTTGATACTGTTTAAACCTGAATTATTTGAATTTGTCCATTTATTTATTATCTGAAGAAATGGCTTACACAAAGTTACGAAACGTCTGTAAATTTAATTTTTCTATTCATTACGATATTACTAATATATCACTATTTTCTATGGTTAATGGTGTACTCAATTTAAACCTTTGTTATTAGAATATGGAATTCTCAGAAGACTGTATTTTAGCATACCCTTCTTATTCTGCCATAGGTTACAAAATGGACAGAACAACACTATGGAAGCTTCTTCGATACTGCGGCGTGCTTCAGAAGATAGTCAATATCATACGGAATTCCTATGGTGGATTAAACTGCAAAATTGTGCATGGAGGACAATTGACAGACTCGTTCGAGGTAAAGACAGGTGTCAGGCAAGGTTGATTACTCTCACACTTCCTCTTTCTCCTGGTGATCGACTGGATCATGAAGACGTCAACATCTGAACGGAAACACGGGATACAGTGGACATCTAGGATGCAGCTGGACGATCTAGACTTCGCAGATGATCTGGCCCTCCTGTCCCAAACGCAACAACAAACGCAGAAGAAAACGACCAATGTAGCAGCAGCCTGAGCAGCAGTAGGTCTCAATATACACAAAGGGAAAAGCAAGATTCTCCGATACAACACAGCATGCAACAATCCAGTCACAATTGACGGAGAAGATTCGGAAGATGAACATGGTGGATATAATGCAGACCTGAAGGTGCGGATCGGCAAAGCAAGAGCAGAATATTTACAACTGAAGGACATCTGGAACTCAACCAACACCAAGGTCAGGATTTCCAATACAAATGTCAAGACAGTTCTACTGTATGGAGCGGAAACCCGGAGAACTACGAAATCCATCATCCAGAAAATACAGGTGTTTATTAACAGTTGTCTACACAAAATACTTCGGATCCGTTGGCCGGACACTATTAGCAACAACGTACTGTGGGAGAGAACAAACCAGATCCCAGCGGAGGAAGAAATCAGGAAGAAGCGCTGAAAATGGATAGGACACACATTGAGGAAAGTACCCAACTGCGTCACAAGGCAAGCCCTCACATGGAATCCTGAGGGCCAAAGGAAAAGAGGAAGACCAAAAAACACATTACGCCGGGAAATGGAGATAGACATTAGAAAAATGAACAAGAATTGGATAGAACTAGAAAAGAGGGCCCAGGACAGAGTGGGCTGGAGAATGCTGGTCGTCGGCTTATGCTCCATTGGGAGTAACAGGCGTAAGTAAGTAAGTAAGGCTACAAAAAATAATACATTGGCATGTTGAAACATGAAATAAGTAGATAAAATTGGAGGGAATATTTATCAGAAAATATGAAGTTTTATGAGTATTATTCCTATGTATTCAGTTGTTAGTAAATTCCAAAGTTGTTTTTACTTCATCGAAAGCGTTCACTGAGATGGAAACGACCTTGGAATTTATTAATTATTGTACACAAGTCAATAGATACCTTACAACTTATTAGTTTTTTAGTAGTAGTATTAGTATATACGCTAGATGTTGTATTATAGAGCTTTTGAACATTTGTTTGAATGCATTAATTTCAATGTATCAACGTCTTATTCTGTTAGAAGATATACAAAAAGAAATAAATTAACGGATTCAGTGGTTCTTATTTGTCTTGTTTTCAAGATTTCCAATAATGTCAAAAGATCCACTACACATCTTATTAATTGCTTTAATAATTCTATACAACATAGAGAAATCTTTTCTCAAGAGTTCGGGAAGAAAAATAATAAGAAACAGTATAGGATAAAAAGTAATATATAGGAGTTTTGCATATCGTAAAAGATATTGTTGATTAATCCCCAAAGCATGTACTATGTTTATATAATAAATGAGATGTGAAACCTATATTAATAGGGAAATCAAAGATCAAGAGAAATTAGGACAGAGAGCATGTACCAAGATCATTATCGATCGGAAATTCATTGACGACATAATAAAAGAAAATCGAAACTTAAATGAAGAATTTTTGTTGAAAGTGTTAAGATTTTTTTAACATCTATTGTTTGACTGTCAAGCTTTCCTTTTCATGTTATCTAACGAAGTTGTCCTGAAGTACAATAGAAACTATTTTAATTCAACTATAAGAGAATCTGGGTTCGAATCTCGAGGGGGGCGGGATCGTGAATGCGCACTGCTGAGGAGTCCCATACTAGGACGAAACGGCCGTCCAGTGCTCCCAGGTTTTCCATGGTGATCAAGCTTTAATTGACTCATGATTTCAACTAGTGATATAAGAGAATCTGTTGATACTACTCTGTCTTCTGACTTGAAACAAGAGTCTAATAAACATTGAAGAGAAATGATTTCCTTTGAATAGGCAAAATTACAAAGCTCACGTAGATAGTATACAGAAACTTTAAGTGACGGAATAAAACATTGCAAAGGAAATAAAATATTTTCGGTTTTAGAAATTATTGGCTAACACAGGTTTTGATGAATATTAAAATGAAAAGTCAAGTACTATTTAAGACTTAAATGAATTCAAATAAAAAGAGGATAAATCAAAGATATGAAGTGTACAGAATAGTTAGGAAAGGTTATCATCAACACAATATGCAGTTCTGTTCTATCATACTTAATCAATAGCAGTTATGTAATAGACAGGAATAGATTATTTAAAGTGATATATCATATTACTACTAGTTTTCTTCATGGAGTTCAATCTTATCTCTTATGCAACAGAAGCTATGAGGATCCGAGCCAAAAACTTGTCTTATGACCTTAGTCACATGAAAGGTTCACTTATTACAGGTCTCCTCAGATTTGCATCACATCTATTGTTTGCTCTTCTTACAGTATACAATCTGACTGGCATACATGTTACCAACTTTAGGAAACATCTATTATCTTCAAATTATAACATTCTTTTAATTCAAAGCAATTTTTATGATTGAATGATATTGTCCATTATTTAGCTATATAAATGTAAAACTATTCATTTGCTTATTATAGCTCAAAAACTAAATGAACTTTTATGTTACTACTTATATTATTAAATGAATCTCATTATAATCAATTCAATTCTATTTGTAATGATGACAGGAATTTAACAGAGTAAAAAGGTTTATGTCATCATTATTGAAATCATACATTTAAAGAATAAGATTATTATTATTATTATTACTATTTGAATATAGATTATAGATTTCTAATTATTTGACTAATTAAGATGTCTTTATTTGGTATAATAGTATACTAATCATGAATTAATGATTACTATGTATAAATAATAGGTCATTGTTATTTTGCTTGCCTATATAATGAGTATCATACTATCTTGACAGCTTGAATATAATAGATTTAACTGACATGTATAACTGTTAGTATTTGTTTCTATTCTGTTTGACTGATTATTCAAGTCATTTGATCTTAATTTAGATAGAGTTAAGTTGAATATAGAAGGATGTGTAATGGTGATCCGGCAAATTTCTCGCAAAAGACAAGCAAGGATCAGGAAACACTAAGAAGTGTTTCCTCCAATCAGTGTTCGCTTGAAGTTTTAGCCAAAAATATCAAGGGGGCAAAACGTCACATGCAGAAGTTCTGATTCGCTGATTGCTACACTGCTACTGTGTTTAGTAGCATTCCAGAATCTTCTAGCAACCCAAAGACATTTAAAATATTATAAAAACCCTGTATTTTCTGTATTGAAATGAACTTTGGAGTAAAGTGCTTCTCGCGTACTTTGCGTCTTGTCTCTCGTTGTTCAGATCGCTGTATAGTTGTACCTTGGGGGTCACAGAATAGCTCAGGAAACGAATATAGCGTTCAATCCGCAAGACGTATCAGGATGTTAATCAGATTACGTAATAAATGTTTAGTTAGTAGACGTCTTTGTTGATATTACATTGAAGATTAAAGTAGCAATAAAATTTAGACTGGAATAAGAGATTGTGGTTTGACAAATGTTTAACTGTTGTAGTAATTGTATTCTAATTCACTACGCATTCATTAGGTAACTAATGTTTGAACATAAATGTTACTACAATGCTAAGTGTTCTATTTGGACAACTGTAATCCGTACTTAAAATTGAAAGATATAATCTTTGATTTTGTCATTAGTAAGACCAAAAGGTGTGTGTGTTCATAAATATTTTTTTTGAAGAGAACATTGAATGAAACAAATTCACCTTACTTTCGTGTATAAGGAAAATTGTAAGTGGACTACTGCTAGACGTTTTGTATACATGTCAACATTTTGTTGGTAATTGGTTCTTTGAGACAAAGTAGCTATTCAGATAAGGAGCTTGGTAGTCTTGTGTTATTTGAGTCTGTAATGTCTTTTTTAACCATATTGAAACTCATTCAGTGAACTATACAAATGAGTGGACAAAATTTAAGATACATCAAATTCAAACCAGTAAATTGATAGATTAATACGAAATGGATGCATCATACTTCATAAACATTCCTTCCGGTACATTAAGTGATGTAATACTGTAACATGCTATTAAACAGTTAAGTATTTTATTAGTGTAGAAAGCCTGTGGAAATTATAGAATTATATTAATTATATCACAAACTGATCTTAGTTAAGCAAGCGCCGAAAACTAGAACGTATTGGATAACTGTTTTGTTGCAGTACGACAATCCTAATCACTGTAAATTCATACATTTCCTATGGATTGAACCTAAGACCTTTAGGCGTTGAAGTAAACACTTAAAAAATGAATCAGTTAGCATTCAATAGTTTAAATTTCTGACCTCAGTTAGTTCATGAAGTCGCTCAATCGTCATCCAAAGCCATTGATGGGTAAGTGTTTCACTTCCGATGTAATTGAATTCAAATACATACTTGTACACTCTTACTACTGAGCAATAACGTACTTAGAGGTAACATGTATCTAGTGTTTCTTAGTTTTTAATGGTTATCCAGCTACAATCAATACATGATATTCTTTATTAAACTATAATAGACCAGATTATAACAGGTAAAACCGTAATACTAAATCATTTTTAGCCATTTTAATAGATTATCCTGGAAAGATGTCATGAATTTTTAAATACATTTAAATTTACATGTCACTCAATCAGTTCCACATAATTATAATATTGACATAAGTGACCTGAAGATGTTTATATTCAAAGATAAGTTTAAAGAATCAAGTACTGTAAAATAACTAGTATTGTTCGTATTAGATTCGAAGCTTCAAGAGTTTCAGTGAGAAGTGGTGATTTTTCAGTTAATCAATTATCATTAACTGGGCTGGATATCTATCACTTTATATTTTAAATGAACTGAATTTATGAATGCTGACAAGTGAAATATAATTAAGTGGATTAAATATATCAATAGTTGAAATCATGGGTCCGTTAAAGATAGATCACCATGGAAAACCTGGAAACACTAGACAGTCGTTTCATTCTAGTATGAGACTTCTCAGCAGTGAGCACTCAAGATCCCACCCCCTCGATATTCGAACCCAAGACCTATCAGTCTCATGCGCGAGCGCTTAACTTCTACACCACTGAACAGATCGGCATCCAACGGTGTTAACGTCTAACTTCAACTAATCCACGAAATCGCGCAATCATCCATCATTGAATTATCATCTCACAACAGACCCGGTTGAACTCCACTGGTCACGGCCTCTCAATACAACTCCAGGGAGTGCCTGTTGAAGTCAGTCACTAGTGAGCAGATGATTAATATTAAAAGGGATTTTGTGAAGATCTTAGTAATTTCAATAGTTGAAATCATGAGTTAATTGAAACTAGACCACCATGGAAATCTGGGGGAAAACCCGGGGAGTGGGACCGTTAATGAGCACTGCCGATAAGTTTCATAATAGGATGAAACATCCGTCTAGTGCTTGCAGGTTTTCCATGTTGGTCTAGCTTCAATTGACTCATGATTTCAACTATTGAAATTGCTTAAATCTCCACAAAACTCCTTCCAAGATTAAATATATATTATCTTTTGTACTAGCTGAAAGTTCTTCCTTCAATTTTTTTATGAGGTCATCTGTGTAGACCTAAAAATTTTAAAAGGATAATAAATTAACTTCTGAGGTGGTGGAAAAGATCTGTAGTTCAGATGGTTGGTTTGGATGGAGTTTCAAAATTAGCTTCTCTCTAATTGCCATGGTTACTCTTCTAACGATGAGATTAACTTTTTTAAATCAGAAAAACATATACTCATAATAATAGAAACGACTGTTCATTAAAACCTACTTACTCATATGTTTATCATCAACTAATTGACGACCAGTTTTAGATTTATAAATTTCATGAATAAGGGCTTGTTTTAACTGTTTTTTAGTTCCACTATAAATTAAATATTGTAAATAAGCTAATACAAGTAACGCTCCACAATATTGAGAAATTAGAAATATCTAGTAGACGAAAAAAGAAATAAGAAAAATCAAGGTGTGTAAACAATTAATAATACTGCTATTGCATAATAATATGAATGGACATTAATTTTCATATAAGCTATAATCATAGATAAATGCTTCGATGAATAAATATAGTGGTTTTGAGCACCGTTAGAGGTATGAGGGCGGTTATCACTTCCCGGTTGCCCACACCGTGGAAGAGTTCTTCTGGAGGGTACCTGAAAAGGAAATTGGATTAGAGATGGTCATTGTGACCTGAGAGCGTGACTTCAGTGCTCAAGGGAGAACTACTTGAGGTCGGTCACACACGACCTTTTTATGGGTGATTTTTGTGTTAGCTCCGTACTTGTTGAAACCTTACCGCCGGAGACGGATATCCGTGGGATAAGGCGAGGTGTGCATTTTTAGGGTCGATCATTTCTAACCTCACCACTTTTTGTGGGAAGGCAGCATCTCTGTTATGCTGGTTGTCTGAAGGAAACACCTTACTGCTGTCACACCTCTGTACAGTCAGCAGTTCGACTTCGCCTTCGGACCTTGGGTTTGTTGCTTTTAGTCTTACCGCTCTTCAACCGACCTGTCTGGCATGGTAAGACCTTGAGGAACGGTTGTTCCAGCCAGTATAGCTCAGTTGCTTCATCACGATAGGCAAGCCCGACAACCACATCACGGTAGCAGCAACGGTCGGGATAAATGCCTTAGTTTGTCTAAGTTTCAGTAATTTATTATATATAAATGACCTGCTTCGAAATGGATTTTTAATAAAGTTTTAATATAGTGGAGAAGATTTGCAACTGAGGTGGATGTTTTAGGTGAAGTTTCGTTCTCTGGAATAAATGGTTTATTTGTGGAGCTTTCATTGTTCTTCTGAACAACATCATCCGCATAAACGTCAGGTAGAAGTGAGTGTTTCGAATTTCTCCACATATAAGTTGGAACTTTCCGTGTTGACTTTGATCTAACATGGTTATTGTTGATCTATCACCTGTCATTATTTACTTCCTTATTTTGATTGTATCTCAAAGTGATTTGATTCTTGGTCCAATATTTGTCTACAATCTTTCTGATAGAACTCAGTGTGTTCGTTGATTGTTGATTAGTCTGAGTGTCAAGCTCTTAAAAATTCCCTGGTGCTTTTAGTATTATCTCTATTCAAGATATCAACATTTTCGCAGTCTAATGTGTCCATGATTGTCCACATCTATTGAAATAATCGAGAATATGTCATGGCGTTTGACTGCTAATTGATGTTTCTTCGGGCGGAAATGAAGTAGGCATCCACATTGTAAGGTTCAAGGTCAACGATAACCAATCGAGACTGAGGTCGACAAGAAAAGCGGCAATCTATATGTGGAGAAATTCGAACACTTTGCTTCTACTTGAAGTTTACGCTGATGATGTTGTTCAAAAGAACGATGAAAGCCTTATGACCAAACCATACAGCTCAGAGAACAAAACCCCACCTTAAAGTTTGAATAAGAAAAAGTAAGACCGGTGAAACTATGAAAAATATTCTATAGCTAATGATTAAATTTGAAGATAGATTATAGAACTCGACAAAGACAATCTACTCTTAAAAGTAAGCATAAAATTGGTGACCAAGAATAGGTATAAAAATCTTGCAGAACTCAGGGTCAAAGGAAGGACAAAAGGTAAATGCATTTGTACTAGTGCGATTGATCCTAGGTCATGTTAACCAACGTCTCCTGTAATTGGTTTTGATAATCACAAAGGTATCAACTAGGTAGTCTGTAACTACCTATAATGCTCAGTTCAGCAGTCGATTATGTCATAGACCTATTCCATTTCGTAGTTCAACCCCTTCTAACTTCCTTCCATCGTATTTCTACGACGACAAATATTGCATGTCAAAGTGTGAAGTGGTTGAGTCCAAGTAACACATATAATTACTCTAAATATCAATAATCTTTTATATCTCTAAATAAGACTAAGTTAACAAAATATGACTTACTTCCAAATAATACTTATGATCTGCTTCATAATAAAGTTTAGATCCTTTCATACCAAATGAATCACATATCGGTAATACAAATCCAAATATACACTGTGTTATAGCAAACATGAAAAGTAAACTGGCTGTCATAGATTCACTAAAAATAAATCATTAGAAAATATTGAGAAAAGAACAATTTAGCTACTAGAAGATAACGTTTCAAGGAAAAATATGACGGTAACACAAAACACAATCTCTTCTTTAATTAAAATAACAATATATGTAATTTTAATAGTTGAATTCATGAGTCAATTGAAGCTAGACCATCACGGAAAACATGGAAGCACTGGACGGCCGTTTCATCTTAATATGGGACTCTTCAGCAGTGCACATCCACAATCCTACCTCGAGAGATTCAAACCCACAAAACCCTTCTCTAATAACAATATATATGTATTTAGGATTGAAAATTCTTTTCATTGAAATTAACAAACCGATAAGCAGTAACAAATATGGATGTTTTGAATTCAACTACTGATATTTATCCAATAAACCGTATACTTATCGTTTACTCATCAGGTTTATCATTAACACATATTGAGTTATATGTGTTTTCTATATTAAAAAAAATAATTTATGGGTTAAATAATTTGGATTTGAATACTTTCACTTCTGTATAGAACCTAATTCTTGTTAGTCAGAGAGTTACAATTGAATGGTTTGGTTTTATTCAATTTTAATCGATCACTGATATGTAGTTGTCTAATTACAAACCTGGTTATCTCCACCGGTTGTGGTTCTTTTTGTAAAAATTCGAGAAATATTTTTTAAAGTCAGTTCTAGTGAGTATACTATTTTAAAAAACTTCTTATTGAGCTGTTGCCTCCTCTTTTTAGCCATGCCGGATAATGTTCTTGAATTCTTTTGGATAAAGTACGCATTGAACGACGTATATACCTAGCTCCACAAGAGAAGGTAACTTGGTAAATGCACATTGAGTTGGTCAGATGCGATAATTTATCTTTCAGATTATTGGTGAAAAATGATCGGCCGGAGAATAATATTCGCAATGTTGCTGCGAAGAATGTTCTTTTTAAGGAATCCGAAATTCTCCTCTTTTAGATATATGTGGCTCTATCACCTTTGAAGTCGATGTTCATGTATAATTTTTTCTTTTCTACTGTAATTATTTGTGTTTTTGGCGTTTTCAGCTTCATATTATTATCAATAAATATCGAAGGACACCCGTTTTTGATAAGTATCTCCTTTAAAAGGCCCAATTCTTCATCTACGACCTCGGGGCTACAGATTCTTCGTATTCTTGTAGCGAGTGTTATTATTAAGTTTCTTTTTCGGCTGATGGAAACCCAGCTGTGGAAACTTGATAGTTGGCCATTCCACATGGGTTTCCTGTAGATAGCTCTTTTTAAAGTACCGTCTTGCTTTCTTGTCACTTCCACATCAAGAAAGTGAATGTTTTGTTTGTTTTTAGCTTCACGTGTGAATTTTATTGATGGGTAACAATTATTAAATGTCTTTAGGAGATTACTTAAGTCACATTTGTCGTCACAAATGATAAAGATATCATCCACGTACCTTTTATACAAGTAGAGGTTTTCTATAATTGTTTTGAGTTGGTTGTTTTCTAAACTGGCCATGAAGCAATCTGCCAGTAATGGACCAAGTGGGGATCCCATTGCTATACTATCCTTCTGTCTATGAATTATGTCGTTGAATGTGAACTGTACATTGCAAGTGTAACGTAGTAATAGTTCCTTCAAATAAACATCCGTTATCCCAGTGTTTATCTTCTTATTATTTATGTACTTGCAGATAAAATTAATGGTCTCTGTGAGTGGAACATTAGTGAATAATGATTCGACATCCAGAGATAGCATAATTTTGTCACTTACATTCACTTTTTTTATGTGCTCGATAAATTCAAAAATATTACGTACGGAATGTTTACAAATGCGTTTTCTAATGGATTCTAGCCACATTGCTATAGAGTGGTAAGAGGATCCTGACATATCAAGAATTGGTCTATGAGGTAGGCCAGGTTTGTGTATTTTTGGCAGACCGTATAATCGCGGTATTATTGATGTTGTTGGTTTTATTCGCTGAAAGACCTGTTCGTTGATTAACTGCTCATTTTTCATTCTCCTAAGAACTTCAATTAGTTGCTTTTTTATAATTTCAGTCTTGTTTTTCTCATTGATTGGTTTTGAGAATTTGGTGTTATCTGATAATAAGGTTGTCATTTTTTCAACATAAATCTTGCGATCAAGCGTTACTAAACCGGCACCTTTATTTGGACGTGTTATAATCAAGTCTTTATTATTTCTAAGTAGTTTTATCTGGTTTCTATGTTCTTTTGTTAGAAGACTTTTACCTGTTACTTTTGCGCTAATATATTCGTTGCAGCTATCGAGAAGAGTAGATTTGAAACGTTGGAATTCTTGATCAGAGACTGGACTAAGATCACTTGTTTGTTTGATTAAGTTTTCAAATCGAACATGTGTGTTGATTTTGTTAATTTTTTTTCATTTATGTCATAGAATTTTATCCCCAAAGATAAGGCTTCTAATTGTACATTTATTAAGGATATTGAAGAATGATTAAACACATATCTCTCAAGATTGCTAGGAAATTTGTCCTGTGTTTCTGTGATTTTTAAACTTTTAGTGATGTTCGATATTAAGTTTTTCGTGCGTTTGTCGATAACTGTAGTAAAATATTCGGTGAAAAGATTGTGTTCGTTAGGTGATAATTCATATAATACATGAGAACTTTGTGAAATGTTAAATTCCAATAACGGGATGCTTGGACGAATAGAATCGATAACATTTTGTGCATGGTGTTTAAGAGATTTTGAGTTTGGATAAACATGGTTTCTTCGAAGAATTTTCCAGTAGTATTTAGGATATTTGTGCATTTTAACGCAATCGTTAAGAAAGGTAACCTTCGCATTCACTTCCGCAAGTTTAAGAGAATAACGCAGAAACTTATTAAGTTATTAAGTCCTTGGAATTTTTTAATAAACGGAATACACCCATTAAGACATTAAATAAGTATACTACTTTAATTTACTTAAATGTTTTATATGTACCATCTGAACAAGATGGTTATCCATCGACAGTCATCATCAATTAATCGTGAAACAATGATGCAATCACTCTTTGTCATTTCTCTCTTTACTTAGATTCACATTACTATGGTTGGTCTATTCAAATAGTTAACAATTCTACTATAAATTACTGCTTAAAAGTGAATAAAAGGAATAACAACTGTCTAAAGATCTGATAGCCTTCGGAACCGATGATTTGAATATTGTGAGATAATGCTCACAAAACTACAGGATATGTAAAAACAAAAAAAACATTCATTTAAAACGTAAAGAAGAAGAGACTCTAATTTATTGAGTTTGTGTTTTCCCTTTGTTGATCAAAAGTTATACGCGTATGTTCATCGTAAGGTTATTTCATATTACCATTAGGTTATAGGAATAAGTGAAGTTAGGTCGTAGCTGGAATTGGGACCAGGACTCACGTTATGTCCTATTCAAAACTTATCAAGTACTTAGATTCGAATCCTGGTATTGATGTTCGGACCGGGACTCGAATCCAGTAGCTTTTGCTATAAACACTAATGCTTCATGGACCTTGCAACTGGCTGCATTTCAAATTTATGAGCAAATGAGAATAGAGAAGCAGTTCGGTTATGATGATCATACACCAATAACGACTAACCAATTGCCATCCTTAACATTCATGACAGAAATTCGCAAACTCTTACAAGATGAATTCATACCTGTTGAACAATTTGGTGGCTATCTGGACACAGTAGCTAAGTTAATAAAGCGTTAATAGTCCTCACCATTGTGGTCAGTGAATATTATTCAATGTACCATACTGTATCCCAAAAGATAACTGAAAAAACTCTAGATATAGCCGTTCAGCACTTTGATTGTTGTTTTGTAACAGTGATTGTAATTGTTTTTCTTCTTTGAAGGCTAATTTGATTTGACAAATACGTTTATACAGCGAAATATTCAAACAGTAATTCAATATTCAGTACTGCTATGCTAATAATTATATGACAAACGCAAGTAGACAGAAATGTAGGATTTACTAAATGCTAGTTGGTATTAAATTGTTGTGTTTCACATAGTTATTCAGAGACAATACCGTCAAGAAAATGTATTTTATACTGTTAGGAATCGACTAGTCTCTAATAACATATGCATATCCTGAGCAGATTGACTAGAATTTCTGAAACATTCACAAGTATTTTACTAGAGCTAGATAGTGCTTATTAATTGAATGTAACATATGAGTTTTATCCTACTTGGAACTCGATTTAATAGCTCAGCGATAAGTACTGAGATCAACTTCTGTTATAAATACCAAAACTGGAATACAATTACATCCAAACGACGAGTATTAAATAAGAAGATGTATTAGTCCTGTACTTTATGAATAGACATTATTGAATATGACTAAAACTAATCATCCACTGTTTGTTGATATTTATGATAATTAAACTATGAAATTGTTCTATCAAGGTAATAATGATAAACAGTTTGTATTGAGTAGATATTTGTTTAAATTTACTTAATATAAACAATTATTTAAATTGACCACAAATACTACCATCATTCAATCAAAATAGAATAGTATATGAATGTTTATGTTAATCTACATTATGATTGTTTATAATTTTCATCATTTACTGACGCCTAATTGAAAACTAATGGAAAACTAATAAAACTAAAAACATATATGTATTTTGATGGAGTTTTGTTCTCTGAGCTGGAGAGTTTGGTCTTGGAGTTTTCATCGTTCTTCTGAACGATATCATCAGCACAAACTTTAGATAGGAGTGAAGCGTTCGAATTTCTCCGTATGTGGTTCACAGCTTGTCCTGTACACCTCAACGTTGATTGGTTCTCGTTGACTTTAAACTTATCACATATGGAGAAAATAGAACGCTTCACTTTTATCTGAAGTTTGTGCTGATGATGTCGTTCAGAAGAACGATGAAAGCTTCATGACCGAATAACTCAACTCAGACAACAAAACTCCATAAAACCATCCACTTGAGCTACAAATCTTCTTCACAATCTCAGATATATGTATTTATAGTTAGAGACTGAATCAACAGTTTACATTCATAATTATATATGGTTTTTGAGATTAAGATGTCCCAAGTATTGAATGTCAACGACTGAATTGTATTTCAATGATTTACATGTTCATTAGCTATTCATTTGTAATTCAACATTATTCTAATTTAATATCAGAGGTAATATATGATGACTACAAATTACAAATAAGGCTAGTCTTCAAAAAAACGTTTTTAGTTAGATTATCATAGTGAACACACTTGTGAACTATGAATTAGAAGTACAAACGGTTAAGAAATCTCCCAGAGACCTAAAAGTCATGAGTACAGTCCATGCTTAAGCAGCTCGTGTGTACTCCTGAGAAATCTTATACTATGAAGGAATATCTTTCTGCTTTTCAAATATACTTTAACCGAGATCAATCTGTGACGAGTACAATCTATGAATCCAATATATGTTATGACTGAGTAATCCAATATTTAAGAGAGACCTGTTAAATACTACTTATTTTTACAATAATTTATTATGTACTTTGTGATTTGCTTACAATCAATTCATACAGGGAGATTTAGAAACTATTTATAGTGTATAATAACACTATAATAATAATATGGAACTGTTCATAGTTCTTTTCAAAGAAACATTTGAACATGTTCTAAATTTGATTGACTTTTCAAACAAACTGACAAATTATTTGATGATCAGAATAAGGATTTATGAAGATTGAAGTAATTCTAAACGTTAAATTCATGAGTCAATTGAAGTTAGACATTAACATTGCTAGATGCTGGTTCAGTGGTCTAGTAGATGAGTGTTCTCATGAGAGACCGAAAGTCTTAGGTTCCAGTCTCGTATATAAGATCGTAAATACGCACTACTGAGGAGTCCCATACTATGAAGAAACGGTCATCAAGTGCTTCTAGCTTTTTAATAGTCGACTAGATTACATCGACTCGTGAATCTAACTAATCACTAAGTTTAATGTGTTATTATTATTATTACTTCGTACAAAAATTTCAAACTTACCATTTATTATTGGCTTTAATTGGAACAAAAGGTGCTGATATACTTCTGTAAAAGCAAACAGTAATAATAATACTGATAATAACAGTAACATAATGAAAATACAAAAAAAGAGATGACAATGAACAAGATAATCATCTGCATAGAATCAATCTCAAGTAAATTTATCAGTTAGTTATAATCAGCGTCCAGCAGGGTAAAGATGTGAATTGATATAACTTTCAAAGTCATATTCATGCAATGAAATAGATAGTATAGTAATAAACATAATAAGAAAGGTTAAACTTTGAGAACACTTTATGAACGGATGAAATTCAATCAATAGTGAAACCCAGGATCAATATTCGGAAAGATCAATAATACTGTTTATTCAATCAAGAGTGACAATCATGCCAATGGTTTTTTTAAAAATCGATGAGGTTTAAAAGTATAGATCCTCAAGGCCAAAGGAAAAGAGGAATACCAAGGGATTCATTACGTTGAGATATGGAGATAGACATGAGAAGAATGAACAACAATTGGATAAAACTAGAAAGGAAGGCCCAGGACAGAGTAGGTTTGAGAATGCTGGTCGGAGGCCTATGCTCCATCGGGAGTAACAGGCGTAAGTAATTAAGTATGTAACTAAGTGATTTCAACAACATTTGAAAAAAAACACTGACTACGTTTTTATGTTTACTTTGAATCATGTTTAGAACTTAAATCGAATCGATCACGATAGAATCTGAAATTGTAGTATACCAAAGGAGACTGAACAGTCTTTTATAGACTTTATTTCAGTTTATACTGGATTAGGATTAAATGATCTACTTAAATGATTGTCGTTATGAAGTTTGGTTTGTTAAGTATAATCCTCAATCAGATAAGAATTCTAAAGAATGGGTGAAACTTAATGAAAACCTAGTTTCTATTTACAAGTTTCATAGCTCAGTCATAGCTCAGCCTGATTTACAATCTGAAAATGTATAATACTAGAAAATGCTGGAATATTTAGTGAAACATAATTTGACCAGTGATTTTATTTCCTACGGAAACTGTAGTGAACAGTAACACGAGTGGGGACAATCGAGTGTATTCGACACGAAATTACAGAGTATGTCAATCAAATCTGAGAACCAGATAGTAAATAGTTAATTTGCAAAATATTAATCCATCGTCTCAAACTTCACTGTTTCTTTTCTGAATATCAGTTCATTGTCTCATATTTCAATGTTCATGCATTTTCATACCACATACGCTATGTTTCCGTTCTTTCCTTATCGATCTTCTGCTGAAATACACTATGTCTAACCACCGTTATACACTACTTATATGGATATAAGTAACTCACATCACAAAACTAACATTGATCAAATAACAGCTAATTAAAGTTGATTGTATAGAATATCGAATTTTAGCTACATGATTTAATGTTATTCTGCTGACCATAGAAACTGACATTTGTTAACTTGATTCCATATGATTACATCTATGTATTTTATTCTGAAATGTTCCAGTCTAAGATAAAGGAAGAACACTATTCAATGATTTGTAATTTTTCATTAGTTCTCCAATTTGATGTCAGTTTCATTTTGATCATTGTTTTTATATTATGAGGTTTCAATACTAAAATTTCTTCTTCTTTATGTGAATAAGAGAAAAAAAGACTAAAAATAAAAGGTTAAGACACAATTCATATAAACCAAGAATATTCTTTTCAATGAATTTCTCATCAACTTCTACAATTATCTCATATCCATATTAATAATCCATAAGATTGACCAGATTGAAGGCAGAGTACATCATTTGGAAATTATAATATGTGAATCATGGATTGTTGTTTATCATCTATCAGATCAAATCAAATCAAATCGTTGATGTTGGAGCTGATTAATATGAAGTTTTTTATTGAGATCATGAACCGACTGATGTTGGACCACCATTGACGAAACGGCCGTCCTGTGCTTTCAGGTTTTCAATGGTGGTCTAACATCAATCGGTTCATGATCTCAATAAAAAACTTCATATTAATCAGCTCCAACATCAACGATTTGATTTGATTTGATCTGATAGATGATAAACAACAATCCATGATTCACATATTATAATTTCCAAATGATGTACTCTGCCTTCAATCTGGTCAATCTTATGGATTATTAATATGGATATGAGATAATTGTAGAAGTTGATGAGAAATTCATTGAAAAGAATGTTCTTCGTTTATATAAATTATGTTTTAAAAAAGTTGAAAGGATTCCTTTTTTCTCCTCTTTTCTTTTCTTTTTTGTTTTTGTTTTACCTGAACATAAGATTTACCTTTGTTTAGCCATATCTCTTTCCCATAATTTTCTCAATTTTATAAATTTCCATGATTTAGCCATTCGTCCAAAACGTTTACGATGATGATTTCGTCGAATACGTTTCTTCAATTTTGATTTTTCTTCAAGTGGATATGAATTCGTTTGATCTGAATCAGAATTATCTGTTGAATAACCTGAATAAGCCATAATGATTAATAATGATAATAATGATAGTAATTAACAATGAACAATATTGCTTTGAAGTAAATAAAGTATCCTGAATTAGTGTTTAGTAAGTGTTCCACGTCAAGATACAATTACTTTTGAAATGTTTCCGTTAATTAGATTAATTGATTATTAGTATTAGTATAGCTAAAATCATTCAGATCTTCATCATTATCATTATCATTATCATCATAACGATAATGATAATAGTGGTGACAAGTCTTTTGATTATTATTATTATTAATAATAAACCAATTATGAACTTGACAATAGTAATGACTGGATAATTTAATGAATATTGATTGGTCAACATGAATGTGTATGTGTGTAATACAATATCATCTGGATTGGATCAAGTTAACCAGTTAAGATATTTATATTTCAATGAATTAGAATAACGATGAATGAGAGTCAATTACTTACCAACTAAAATATTTGTTTATTAGTAATCTGTAATATAAACAATATCACTGTTAGCCATTATCCAGCTTTGCTTATAATACTTCTAAATTAAGGCAATGTCGAGGCAATACGCACAGTATGCACATATGCCAATAAGTGACTGATCAATTACAGTCCTAAAACATCAATAGGAAGATTCAAGTAAAACAATACCAAGTGAATTAAACTTCACCTGATTGCACAAGCAAGTGGCTATCAGGACTCAGTAGGTAAGTGGATAACGCGATGGCGTTTGAAGCGAACGGTACTGAGTTCGAGTCCCAGAGTGAACATCAACTCTGAGATGCAGGTACATCCAGCTGACGAGTCCCAAACAGGACGAAACGCGCGTCAAACTGCATTCCACTGCTACCCACTATCCATCTTTGCTTATAATGCTTGTAAATTAAGGCAATATCGAGGCATATGCACAGTATGCACATATGCCAATAAGAGACTGATCAATTTCAGTCCTAAATATCAATCGGAAGATTCAAG